TAGCTGGGACTACAGGCGCCCGCCACCATGCCAGCTAATTTTTTGTATATTTAGTAGAGACGGGGTTTCACCGTGTTAGTCAGGATGGTCTCAATCTCCTGACCTCATGATCCGCCCGCCTTGGCCTCCCAAAGTGCTGGGATTACAGGCGTGAGCCACCGTGCCCGCCCTCTTCTGTAATAAATTTATAATCTTCTTCTCTACTTGCTATTAATCCTATCCATTGGATTTTTTATCTCTGGAAGTTCTACTTGGGTTTTTAAAATATATTCTGTCTCAACATCACTAATCATCAGGGAAATGCAAATCAAAACCACAATGTGATACCACCTAACTTCTGCAAGGATGGTCATAATTTAAAAATTAAAAAACAGTAGATGTTGGTGTGGATGCAGTGGTCAGGAAACACTTCTACACTACTGCTGGGAATGTAAACTAGTACAGCCACTATGGAACAGTGTGGAGATTCCTTAAAGGACTAAAGGTAGAACTACCATTTGTTCCAGCAATCCCACTACTGGGTATCTACCCAGAGGAAAATAAGTCATTATTTCAAAAAGACACTTGCATACGCATGTTTATAGCAGCACAATTCACAACTGCAAAATCATGGAACCAACCTCAAATGCCCGTCAATCAACGAGTGGATAAAGTAACTGTGGTATATATATAGGATGGAATACTACACAACCATAAAAAGGAATGGATTAACAGCATTTGCACTGACCTGGATGAGATTGGAGACTATCATTCTAAGTGAGGTAACTCAGCAATGGAAAACCAAACATCATATGTTCTCACTGATAAGTGGGAGCCAAGCTATGAGGATGCAAAGGCATAAGAATGATACAATGGACTTTGGGGACTTGGGGGGAAGCATGGGAGTGGGGGCGAGGGATGGAAGACTACAAATAAGGTGCAGTGTATACTGCTCAGGTGATGGGTGCCTCAAAATCTCGCCAATCACCACTAAAGAACTTACTCATGTAACCAAATACCACCTGTACCCCAATAACTTAACGGAAAAAGTAAAGAACTGAAAAATAAATCTTGAGAGATAAAAAAAATTAAATAAAATATATTCTATGTCTCTACTTTTCTTTTCTTTTCTTTTTTTTTTTTTTTTTGAGACAGAGCCTCACTCTGTCACCCAGGCTGGAGTGCAGTGGTGCAATCATAGCTCACTGCAGCCTCAACCTCCCAGCTCAAGCGATCCTCTTGCCTTAGCTTCCCAAGCAGCTGGGACTACAGATGTACAGCCCCATGCCTGGCTAATTTTTTTGTATTTTTTTTGTAGAGACAGGGTCTCACTGTGTTGCCCAGGCTAGTCGTGAACTTCTAGGCTCAAGTGATCCTCCTGCCTAAACCTCCAAAAATGCTGGGATTACAGTCATGAGCCAAAGTGCACCAGGCCAGGACAGGGATTTCCTAAACATGGGAAACAAAGATGAGCCCTATGATTGCGCCAGTTTCCTGCCTTGAATTTGTAGACTCAGGGAAGGGAAACTGAGGTAGGTCCCAGCAGACTCCTTGAGATGAGAAGATGGAGCTCAGAGTCCTGGGAGACTAAGGCAGCTAGAGTTCACAGACAAAGTGCTGGAGAAAAGAAAGCAGTACAGAGAAAGGGCCTGCCTCAAGGACTCAGCAGAATACTGATTAGCATTTGCATGTGAGGAAAGACCCACCTGAAAGGATTAGAGGAAACAGTACCAGGAATAGCTCCTGGTTCTACCAGTCAGATTAGAAAAATTCCTAACTCAAAGGGCATTGAGTAGAGTACTCAGGAAAGTTCTTGCCTCAGTAGTGGGAAATAATTAGCCCTAGACTGAGCACTGCTCTGGAGCCACCAAAGAAATCATAAAAGCTAGGCCCCAAAGAATAAAATCGCATCCAAGTATCTTCACTGTATCCCAGAACAAAGCTCAAGAAGATCGGCAGAAATACAAAATATCCTAACAGGGTAAAGTTTACAATGTCAGGCACTCAATCAAAGATCACCAGACATACCAAGAGACAGGAAAAGATGACCCATAAAGTAGAAAATAATCAACTGAAACCAACCCAGAACTGATGCAGATGTTAGAACTGGTAGAGGAGACATGAAAACAGGTATTAGAATTGTATTCTCTGCATTCAAAAGGTTAAGTAGAGATGTAGAATATATTTTTAAAAACTCAAGTAGAACTTATACAGACAAATAATAAAATGAATGAGATTAATAGGATGGATATTACAGAAGAAAAGACAGTGGACGTAAAGGCATGAATAAAAACTATGCAAAATGAAAGATACAGGAATTTTTTTTAAGTGAAAAGAGCATTAGTGAACTGTACACACTCCATGTGACTTAATATACAGGTAAATGAAGAAAAGAATATTTGAAGAAATAATAATAATACGTCTTAATATACACGTAATTGAAGAAAAGAATATTTGAAGCAATAATGGTCACAGAAATTCCAAACTTAATGAAAACTCTAAACCCACAGTTCTAAGAGTCAACAAAGTCCAACCTCAACAAACATGAAGAAAAGTACACCAAAGAACATCATAATCAAATTACTCATAACCAGTTATTTTAAAAAAATCTTTAAAAAATACCTAGAGAATTTTTGTGAAGAAAGAGATAAGCTGATCCTAAAATTCATATGAAAATGCAAGGCACCCAGAATAGGCAAAACAATCTTGAAAAAGAAGGAAGTTGGAGGACTTACCGTCCCAATTTCAAAACCCAATACAGAGCTACTGTAATCAGGACAGTGTCGTGCTGGCATAATGAAAGAAATTTAGATGAATGAAACAGAATTTAGAGTCCATAAATAAACCCATACATTTAGAGAAAATCAAATTTTGACAAGAATTCCAAGACAATTCAATGGTGAAATAGTCTTTTCAACAAATGGTGCTGAGACAACTGGGTATCCACATTAAAAGAACAAACTTGGGCCCTTACTTCGTATCATATACAAAACAAAAAAACAAAAAAACAAAAAAACAAAAAAACAAAAAAACCTCAGAATGGACCAAAGACCTAAATATATGAGTTACTATAGGCATAGGTGTTTAACTCTTTATAACCTTGGATTAGGCAATAATTTCTTAGAAATGACAACTAAAGCACAAGCAACCAAAGAACAAGTAGGTAAATTGTACTTTATTAAAATTTAAAAACTTTGTTGAGGCAGGAGGATCACTTGAGGCCAGGAGTTTGAGGTTACAGTGAGCTATGATTATACCACTGCCCTCCAGTCACAGTGCCATGAACCATTCACCATGCCCTTGAGCTTCTCCTGAGAGGCTTCCTGATCAAGCCATCTGACAGCCTTCAAAAGGGACCTCAAGGGAGTGGTTGGGGTAGGCTGGACTCACCCTTCTTGACCCCCTCACCTTACTCCATGAGGTCTACTTCCAAACCTTCCTGGGCCTCTGTTCCAGCCAGGATGCCTCTCACAGAGATGAGATCCCTCAACCCCTTATCCCAAGGGGCTCCAGACTGGGGGCCTGTCTTGGCCCTAGCTCCCAGAGAGCTTTCCATCAGCCACAAGACTCTGAGGCCCCAAATCCTGCCTGGCCTGAGACGAATGCTCTCTGAATCATCCTCAAGACCAACTCAGGAGCCCCTACACCACCCACCCTGGAGACACCAAACCAGACGCAGTACTCACAGTCCACACGGAGCTCAGCCTTGGTGGAGGAGACACCCACGCTGTTCTCAGCCAGGCAGCGGTAGACACCCATGTCTGCTGGCACCACGGCTGTGATGATGAGCTGATGGCCACCCTGTTGGTCTTCATTAATCATGTAGTGGTCATCCTCCTCCAACAACTTCCCATCCTTGAACCAACGCACACTAGGCATGGGCTGACCTCTCACCACACAGTCAAAGCTCACAGGATACCCATCCTGCACTTCTTGGTTCTGCAACTCGGTCAGGAACACCGGGGCTGGGATAGATGGGTGATTTAGCCCCAGGGAACAATGATCATGTCCGGCTGCCACATACATGCAAGTTGCCACCAGATGAATGGTTTGACACATATGATGTACAGAGCAATCATTCATATGGGAGTGTTCATAGACCCTGACAGCTAAAAAGAATGGTATCTTTGCCTGCTAAGCTTCTCTCTCTTCCTTGTTCTCTAAGAATTCTGTTTGCCAGCTTGGTTCCCAAGCTGCTCTGAGGCAAAGGCGATAAAGGGCTGGAAACAGGGAGGAAAAGGGAGGTAAAGCAAAGATAAAGACTGTGTGGCCTGTAAGTCCAGGAGGAGCAGGTGAGGGATTTGCAACAAGGCAGAGGCTCAAAATTGGAGAGAAGTTTCAAGAAATAACACTGTGGGTCATTCATCCTACCCTCTTTAACATTCCTAGAGAGATACAAGTAAATAAGGAAATGGCTTTTTAATTACTCCTAGATGCTGGAATGGGAAATGGTAGCAGACTGGACCATGAGGAGTGCAGCATTTTATACAGGTTTCAGAGTCTCCTTTTTAAAAAATTCTAGAGAGTGAACACAAATGACCTTTGAACAACATGCATTTGAACTGCATGGGTCCACTTATGTGTGGATATTTTTCAACCAAACTGGATAAAAAAATACAGCATCTGTGGGATGCAAAACCCTGTATAGCGCTGACTTTTCATATATATAGGTTCTGCAGGGCTGATTTGGGGACTTGAGTATGTGTGGATTTGGGTACACCTAAGGGTTCTAAAATCCATCCTCTGTGTATACCAAGGTAGAACTGCATTCCCATTCTCATTTCACAGATGTGAAAGCTGAGGCACAGAGATGCTAAGCAGCTTCCCCCAAAGCACATAGTTAGTAAGAGACAGGGTTGGAGTTCAAATTCAGCTCTATTTAACTTCAAAGTCAGGGCTTTTCACACCTCAGTGGGCTGCACCTGCAAAGAACCCAATGGTGGGCACGGGTAACCCCTTAAGCTTGCAGCAGACTCTGGATCCTTCTCCCCTGCCTCTCCCTGCCTCTGCACCCTGGTTCGCGACCCCAGACCGAGGCTGTGTGCAGACTCACCAGCATCAGAAGTCAGTAGGCTGGGCAATGGCTCTGGAGGCACCACAGGGGCGGGGACCTCTTTGCTGATGCGCATCTCTACCCTCCGAGGCCCCTCCTCCACCAGGTTGATCTGCACCCCAATGCCCAGTGTGGCAAACATCTCCTGGAAGCGAGTTACCGCCTGGCGGGCCTCGGTGAGTGCCTCAAAACGGATGCAAATGAAATGCTCATCTTCGCGGTATGTCTGCCAGTCCGCAGGCTCCTCTGGCTCTGCAGGGCCCTCATCTGCACTCAGGAAGAGCTCCTCGTCTGAAACCTCAGCCGGGCTTTTGGTGCGGAAGAGCCGGTGCAGCCGCCGGGCAGCCCGGCGGAAAGCATCGTCCAGCTCACCCCCAGAGGAGCTCTCGGCCTCACTCTCTGTCCCACTGACCACCACACAGGCACTGTGGGCCACCTGGCCAAACTTGTTGCTCACCTGACAGGTGTAGTGGCCAGCATCAGCATGGCCCAGGCCAGTGATCAGCAGAGAACAGGTGCCATCCCCAAGCTGGTCGATGTGATGGTGCCGCCCGTCGGTCAGCTCCACACCATCCTTCAGCCAGCAGGCTCGCACATCTGCCTTGCTGGCCACAACACACTCCAGCCGCAGGGCATCCCCTACCTGTGCCTCAGTGTCCCCAAATGTGTGGGAGAACATAGGCCCTTCCTGCTGCTTCATCTCCTTCCGGACCTTGTAGCCCTTAAAGGCGGCCTGGATCTTCACAGCTGCCTTGTCCATTGAGGGATCACCCAGGTCTTTGGTGCTCAGGTCTCCCAGCGGTGGGCGCACAGCAGCCAGCGGCTCCTGCTGCTGCTGTGGCTTCACAGAGGGGGCTGCTGGGGCCCCAACCTGTGGGCACAGAGGCTGACGTCATGGTGAGATAGGGAATCTGAGGCCAGGAACTGGGCACGACTGGTGTGGAATGCATGGCAGGGGCAGCTCCAGGTCTTGCTCCAGTATGCCCTTTTTCCTCCTACCAATTGGACCAACACTAGCTTCAATTTGACCTAGATGTCTGACAGCACCTTCCAAAAAGCAAGCCCACTTCCTGGAAATCACTTTACACAATCACTCAGACCACGATGAACAGGGTTGTGAAGAACACCATGAAGAGACCAGTTCCAACTCTTCAGGCAAAAGTTTTAATGGTCAGATGTGTATATGAATGGATGGATGCAGGGTGGATGGAGAGATACATCGATTAATGGATGGTTGAATGGGAGAACAGGTATATGGATGGATGGATAGATGGATGGGTGGGTGGGTAGCTGGTGGATGAGTGAATGGTTATACAGATGGTGGTATGGGTAGATGAGTGGGTAAACAGGCTGACAGACAAACAGACAAACAGGTGAACAAGTACAGGAATAGATTATGGACAAATGGTGGATGGATGGGTGAAAGAGTAGGTGGATGGATGATAAACAGCAGATGGATGGAGTTGTATGGTTGTATAGGTGGGTAAACAGGCTGACAGACAAATGAATGAACAGGTGAACAGGTGCAGGAGTGGCAGATGGATAGTAGATGGATGGATGAATGGAATGGAATGGAATGGAAGGATGGTGGGTAGATGGTAGATGGATAGATGAATAACAGGATGGTGAGTAGATACATGAATGGATAGTGGGTAGATGGGTGCATGTCAGATAGGAGGATGGGTGAATAGATGAAAAGAAGGAAGGACGGTAGTATACATGGATGGACAAATGGAAGGATGGTAGATGGATGATGAATGGATACATGCATAGATGGACAGATGGAAGGATTATAGAAAGATGATGAATGGACAGATGGTGAGATGGTGAACAGATGATAGACGGATGAGTATATAGATGGCAGATGGGTGAATGCATGACTAGATGGAAGGAAGAATGTGTGCATGGATAGATGGTGGATGAATAGATGGAACAAAGGAAAGAAAGATGAACATATGGATGAATAGATGGCAGATGAAGGAATAGATGAAAGGAAAGAAAGATGGACACATAGACGGGTGGATGAAAGAATGAATGCATGAATGGATGAATGAATGAAAGGAGGAATGGATACATGGATGGATGGATGGATGGATGGATAGAAGGAAGAATAGACAGATGCATGGATTGAAGGATGGATGGTAGACAGACAGAAGAGAAGAAATGCATGCATTGATGGATGGATCGTGTATGGATGGATGGAAGGATGGATGAACGGATGGATGGATGGTAGATGGATGATGCATAAACAGATGAAAGTAAGGAAAGACAGATGTATGAATGGATGGATTAGGTAGAAGGATGGAAGGACAGAAAAATGGATGCCTGAATAGATGGATGGCAGTTGGATTGAATAGATGGATGGCAGTTGGATGAATGAAAGGATGGGTGGATGCATGGATGGATGGATGCATAGATGGATGAATGGTGGATGGGTGGATGGAAGGAAGGATAGATGGATCGATGGATGCATAGATGGGTGGATGAGTGGTTTAGATGGATGGATGCATGAATGAATGGATGAATGGTGGATGGATGCATAGATGGGTGGATGAATGGATGCATGAATGAGTGGATGAATGGTGGATGGATGCATGCATGGATGGATGGATGAATGGTGGATGGATGGATGCATGGATGGGTGGATGAATGGTGGATGGGTGCATGAATGGATGGATAGATGAATGGTGGATGGATGGAAGAATGGTGGATGGATTGATGCATGGATGGGTGAATGAATGGTAGATGGATGCATGGATGGATGGATAGATGAATGGTGGATGGTTGGATGAATGATGGATAGAAAAATGCATGCATGGATGGATGAATGGTGGATGGATGGATGCATGGATGGGTGGATGAATGGTGGATGGATGCATGGATGGAGAAATAGATGAATGGTGTATGGATGAATGCATGGATAGAAAGATGCATGGATAGATACATGGAAGGAAGGAAGGAAAGTTGGATGAATGGATGTATGGATAGATGGATGAATGGCAGATGAGTGGATGAATGGAAGAAAAGATGGATAGATGAGTAGATGCATAGATGGGTGTATCAATGGCGAATGGATGAATAGTGGATGGATGGATGGATGGATGGATGGATGGATGGATGGATGGATGGTGAATGTCTCAGACCTCTCCTTGCAGGGCAAGTTGGGGGGGCTCACCTTGCTGGTCAGTGGTGAGGTGCCTTGCCTCCCAGCCTTCTTGAGGTAGGTGACCAGGGAAGGGGTGCCTGCCCGGGACTCATCATCAGAGCTGGTGTGTGAGAGGTCAGCCTCTCCAGTGCGTGCCAGCTCATCAGCCGTGGAGTAACCTTCGGAGAGATCAGGTGCCACCTCCTCTGCCTCCTGTGGCAGGTGCTGTGAGCGGCCATCCTCCTCAGGCAACTCGCTAATGGAGTCTAGCGTGGGCTCACGGCTCATGCGACGTTTCCGAGCCAGGGCCTCCCATAGTTGGTGCAGGTCGCCCTCCTGGGCTGCCTCAAGGGGCAGGCTGGGCTGAGGAGGGGCCTCATCCACAGAGGCTGGGCTCAGCGCCACTGAGGAAGGCAAAAGACTGGTCAGTGGGCTAGTTCAGAGCCATCAGCCCAGACCTCAGCTGCTTATCAGTATGTAGCTGGGCTGTAGCTTTGCTAGGCCTCTACCCCCACCTGGCACTAGCTACTTCAGATGGCACAATCTTTGCAAGTCTCAGAGCCCCTGAGCCTTGGCTCCCCCACTTTGAGTGAGGCCACAGTCTACCTCCCTGCACAGGGTATGTGATGACTGGAACAGGAAAGGACTCTGCAAAAGCAAATTGGGCTGATTTGAGCCCTTCTGGCCCTGCTTCTGGGATAGAGTGCCTAGACTCATGGGGGTGCTGGCTGCCATGCAGGGAGGATCAGGCTCAGAGTTCAGGGGACAGGCCTCAGAGTGTGGGAGGGCTCGGAGCACTGGGGTTTTCAGGAGGTTCAGAGTACAGGGGATGTCTGTGTGCGGGGGCCCAGAAGCTTAAAGGGACCAGAATAGGAGAACCAAGGGCTGCACCACTCAGGACCTGCTCAGGGACAGGCAGGCTGGCCTAGGCCATCAAGACTCTGCAACATGGGTTTACCACACCTCCCTGCGCAGCCTCAGTCTCTCCTATGTGATGGGCCTCAAAAGGACCCTCAGCCCTTCCCTAAGAGAGCCTGTGAGAGGAAGGCCAAGCTGCACCCCCACACCAAAGCTCCCCACCCTGGAACCTGGAAGGACAGGGACGACGCACCCTGGAAGGTGGCAGCCGCGGGGCAGGTGGAGCCCTGGGCTGGGCCACAGTGGTACTCGCCCTGGTCTTCTGCCGTGAAGCCCCTGATCACCAGCATTTGTTGCCGACCCTGGGAGACCACCTCGAACCGCCCACTGGGCTGGATGCGCTCCTTTCCCTTGTGCCAGATGACCTCGCCAGCCTCAGCTGCCACCTCAAGCTCCAGACAGACATCCTCACCAGCTGCCACCTGCCGGCTCTGAGGGGCAGAGGGCTGGGGAGGCACAGGCTTCGGTGGCGTTGCTGGGGAACAGCATTCACGGACAGAAGACAGGCTCCATCAGCAAAGATGCACCCAGGGTGCAGGCCCCACCCCTGGGAACCCCTCCCTCTTCCAGCTTGTGGGGGTTGTGAACTCCCCAGGCCCCAGTGAAGCAACTCACCAAGTCGCACAGTCTGGGGCAGGTGAACCGGTTCCCCAGCACCCACTGGGCCCACAGCTGCCACACGGAAGCGGTAGGTCTCCCCGGGGGCCAGGCCATCCACCACACACTCAGGTCCAGGCACCAGCTCGTGGCACAGCCGCCACTGGCCCATGGCCCCCTCCTTCACCTCCACGCGGTAGCCACAGAGACCACCGCCTCCATCACTTATGGGAGCTGCCCAAGACAGTGTCACAGTGTGGCTGCTGCAAGCCACCACTTCAGCATCCTCTGGGGGGTCAGGGAGGCCTGGGGAAAAGGGGAACCAGTCAGGGGGGTGGCTCCCTGTCGGCACTAACAGCCCCTCTGGAAGCCACTGGGCTCTGATACTGGTTGCAGGTGGTGTGGCTGCACCTGAAGGCAGCGTGCTGCTGTACCTAGTGGCCCAGCCCGTCTCAGGGAGTGAGGGATGCTGCCCAGGCCCCGTGGTGGCGCACTTGCGTGTCACATGGAGACTATATGTGTCCAGAGCCCACCCAGTGTGGAAGAGCCCCTGGTGGTCTCTGCACCTCCTGTCTCCCCAGAGCTGGGCTCAGATCTGCATTAGGAGTTGGGGGAGCTGAGGGGGAGGTGGAGCAGAATGAGGGGACTTTGGCCTTATGAACCCACAGGGTGGTAGACTCATGCATTGTTATGCCTGGCCAAGGGCAGCCTCCCAGACTCCCATGGCCAGGCCCATATCTGCAGGCAGTCAACCCCAAGCTCTGCAGCGGGCAGATGCTGCAGAACCCAGCCCGGGATGGTCACCCACAGACCCACAAGCTCTGGAAGCCAGGCGGGCCCCAGACCCGACCTGCAGGGGAGGGAGAAGGGAGCCCGCCCACCACCCACCCAGCACGGTGAGTCGCGCAGAAGCCACGGCGTCGCGGCAAGCGAAGGTGACCTCCCCGGCATGGAGGAGCTGGGCGCTGCGCAGCAGTAGGGCGTGGTGACTGCCATCGGCAGTGACAGTCCAGTCGGCATCATCCGGCTGCACCGCGGCACCATTGATGTACCAAGACGCCTCTCCCACGGGCACCACCTCGCTGAGCGTGCAGGTGAAGAGGGCCTGCGCACCGGCCCGGACCACCGCGTTTTTCAGCGGCTCCAGGATCTCCAGGCGCCAACCTGCGGGTGTGCCCGAGGAAGGGGTGTGAGGGCAAGGGCCGGAGCAGGGCCTGGACTTCAGACCCTCGCTTCTTCCCACCTGCGTGGGTGGGAGGGGTCTGGGAGACCGAAGCTCCCCACCTGCGGCCCCAGCAAACCCCTCTCTCAAAGTCAGCCTAGCCTCCCACGGGAGACACCTCTCATCTGGCCCCCAGTCATGCCTGCCTTCAACCCAGCCTCCTGTGGGTCCCAGAGACCAACACGTCCCCCTCCTGGCTCCGGAGAGCCTCTGGTCTCGGCGCACGGCGAACACACCGTGCACCCCTCCTGAGCCTTGGGCCTGGGGCTTCCATCCACTGCAGAGCGGGTGGCTCCCAGCCTCAGGTGGGAGGGGCTGGACCCTGGCAAACCCTGCGCTTTGTGCCGCTCCCTTCCCCGGCTCTGCCAGCAGCACCAGGGCCTCAGCGCCTCAGCACCTCTGCAGCGCGGGTGGCCCAGCCTCCTGCAGGAGGGTCTTGGAGACTGATGTCCCCTCTGCAGCTGCAGCCCCCCAGCCCCGCCCCCTCTGCCATCCGCCCCCCGCAGCCTCTAGTGGGATCTGGCCCCGCCCCGCACCGGCACAGCGCAGTCACCTCGGACCGTGAGGAACGCAGACGTCACCATATCCCCAGCCAGGAAGGTCACCCGGCAGCTGTCTTGCGGCCGCAAGTTTTTGAGCAGCAGCAGGTGGCGCAGGCCGTTCTCAAAGTAGACCACCTCGGCGTTCTCCGAGGTGCGCACAGGTTCGTCGTCCAGCAGCCAGGTGTGGGCAGCCACCTCAGGCTGGGACAGCTGGCACTCGAACAGCGCCTCGCCGCCCTCCAGCGCCTCCACGTTCTCCAGCCCCCGCACCACTGTGTTCTTGGCTGCGGGGAGAGGGAGGCTCAGACCATGCCTGCGCTTCCAGGATCCCCACGTCCCTTGGGAGTGTCCTGAAAACTACAAAAAGTCAAACGAAATGCCCCCTCCCCAGAAGCTATGTGGAGGGGGGCACTCAGTGTCCAGGGTGGAGCCACCGTGCCTGCCTCTGTAGTCACCCAGGCCCCCCCCCGCCACACCATACCCTGCCCACTTTGGCACTGGGTTCCTGACCTCACAGGTGAGAAACCTCACAGGTGTTCACGAGACTAGAAACTCGCCAACCGCACAACTGGGCTTAAACACAGCCATGGGGCTTAGAGCCATGCTTTACCTGCCATGGCCCCACTGCAGCTTCGGTGTCTGGAAACAGCCCCCTTTCTCTGCACCCCCAAACAGAGCTACTAGACCTACTGCCTGGCCCCTAGGATGCCATGCTCAGACTCACAACAACCAGAGACCTCCTCCCTAATCCACTGCCCTCCTCCGCTCTCCCCTCCCTTTCTAATTCTCTTGTGGGTTCACGTGTAGGAGTCTCGAATTTGGCCACACATTCTTCATGGAAGCCACAAGTTCAGCAGCTGTGCATGCCCCGCCTACCCACAGCTCAGGTCCTGGTGTAGCGAGTTTGCCACCTATGTGGCCTGTTTCCACCTGTCCGAGCCACCTGTGTCCCAGAGCCACCAGACACTGCCTGCCATTCCACTATCACTGCACAGCCAAAGCTGTGGCAAAGCTGCCCCGGGCCTGGGGCTGCCCACCAGGCGGCCTCACCTTGCACTTGCAGCAGGGCCACTACGCGGGTGCCCGCAGCCTCACAAGAATAGATGCCACTGTCACAGGGCAAGGCCGGCCTGAAGGTCAGCCTGGCCACGTTCCAGTCCTGCTCTATGATGACACGGTGCCCATCCGTGCGCACCTCCCGCTCGTCCATCTTCCATGTGGCCTGCACGGGCCGTGAGTACTGGCAGAGGAGCTCGGCCGAGCCACCCTCCTCCACGGCCAAATCCTGCATGGCACTGACCACCTCCACCACGGGATCTGTCGGCCAACATGCCGGACACACATCAGCCCCTGGAGCTGAGCCACCGCAGCCATCCCCACCCTCTGCTGTCAGCATTAGAGGCTTCAGCGGCAGCAAGCGCAGAGCTGTGGCAGGAAATGGCAGAGCAGTGACCAGGGAAGGGGGCCCACCACGACAGCCCAGGGCTATCCACCGCAGACACACCTCACCCCCACCCATGGGAGACAGCACTGTCGGGCTTGGTATCTTTCCAGGGGAGCCTCTCCTGGTCCCCTTTGCCTCTACCTCCCTCTGGCCCTGGGCACACTGCCCCAACAGGGACACAAACCCTCCAAAGTCCCCCCACCCCATGCCCTCTGGCCCTGGCTCAGGAGCCAGAGCCCCAGCCCAGCTTGCCCCTTCTGCAAGGACTCTGCCATCTTTCTTGGGGTCTCTGTCCCATCTCCACTGTACAAATCCTGCTCCACAAATGGCTGTGTGCCCCGGGACTCAGGTGAACCTTCCACATTTTCTTTGAGGGTGCACAGGGGGCAAAGCCACCATGTAAGTCACTGGGAGGGGACTCCCATATGGCCAGCTCTTTCCCAGAAGGGCATAAACCTAGCCTAAGCCCACAGCGGAGGAAGCAGGTGACAGCAGGGGTAGACTCAGCAGGGGCTGCTTTTGGCTACACAAGGGACTGGGTTTCATGGCTGGGCACGTGCGGCCAGCAAGGTGATAGCCAGTAGGACATGGGTTGGTGTCCAGCTACACCACTCCCTAAGCCCAGACTTCTCATCCACCCTCCATACCCACCTGTGCCACTGTAGGCAGACAGCATGCATAGAGTGGTGCCTACTCTGTGGCCCTGGGGGCCAATCCCTAATCCCAGGAGCCCGCAGGAAGCATACAAAAGTGCCAGCATGGCAGGGGTTGCCATCGGCCAATACCTTTCATCAACAACTTGGCCGTGGAGACCAGGGGCCCTGCGCGGAAGGTGACAGTGCCGGAGTCGGCCACCCCCAGGCCTGAGAGCGTGAGGGAGTGAAAGATCCCGTCTCGCACAGTGATGGCACTCTGGGGGCCATCCTGTAGCAGGGTCCCATCCAGCCACCAGCGGGCCTCCGGCCCACCCGCGTGAGACACCTCACAGGAGAACGTGGCCACCTCCCCTGCGAAGACATCCACATTCTGCAAGCCACGTACCAGGCATGGCGCTGCCTCTGCACAAGAGGGTAAGAAGGAGGGCGAGGCTGGGACACCCTGGAATCCACAGGACTGGGCCACTTGAGGGTTCACTGGTGTGGGGGTGTAGCACAAGAATAGATTGTGTCTCTGCTCCTAAAGCCCTCAGAAGTTCCTGAGTGTTCATAATGTACTCCTTTGACTACACCTGAGTTTATGCTAATGATGTGGCTCAGGTAGGGGTCCTGGACAACATCAGAATGGACCTCTAGAAAGGCCAAGTGTTTAGAGGGTTGGAACTTTCCTACCCTCCCACCTCTAGGAAGGGGAGAGGGGAACAGAGATTATGCTCTATAAAAGCTCTTGAATGAGATTTGATGAGTTCCCAGGTTGATGAAGATATGGAGGTGCTAGGAGCATGGCACACCCAGAAAAGGCATGGAAGGTCTATGCCCACCCCCACCCCCATCCTTTGCCCTTTAAATCTTTTCCACATGGCTATTCCTGAGCTGTATCCTTTATAATAACTGCTCAATACAAGTGTTTCTATGAATTCTAGGAGCTGTCTTAGCAAGTTAATCAAACTCAAGGAGGAGAAGTGGGAACCCCATTTCATAGCTGTTCAGTCAGAAGTGTAGGTGGCGTGGGACTTCCCACTGGCATCTGAAGTGGGGCAGTCTTGTGGGACTGAGCCCTTAATCTATGAAATCTGACTCTCACTCCAAGTAGAAAATATCAGAATTGAAGTGTAGACAGCCAGTTGCTGTCTGCTAGAGAATCGCTTGGTGTATGGCCCCCGCACATCTGGTCACAGAGTGTTCTGTGCTATGGGAGTATAATAGGAGAAAAACAGTAAGTGTGTTGTTCTGTAGAATTGGTGTCAGAAGTAGGACTTGGCCAGGCACAGTGGCTCATGTCTGTAATCCCAGCACTTTGGGAGGTTAAGGTGGGAGGACTGTTTGAGCCCAGGAGTTCAAGACTAGCCTGGGAAACATAGTGAGACCCCATGGAGGCATGTGCCTGTAATCCCAGCTACTCACCAAGTTGAGGTGGGAGGATCGCTTGGGCCCAGGGGGGTTGAGGCTACACTAAGCTATGTTCACATCACTGCATTCCAGCCTGGGCAACAGGAGACCCTGTCCCCTCACCCCCACCAAAAGTGGGACTTGCTAGAATAGCCTTGGGGCTAGTAACTGGTACTGGGGCCACCCTGGGGTCTGCCAGAGCAGGCATCACCCAGACCAGGAGGGTGACCTAGGGTTATGGAATAGAAATCCACCCAGGCAAGCTGGCCCACCCTGATCACAAAGGGAGACACAGAGGCCACCCACAGTGAGCCCGTGGAGAGTGGCTCAGCCTCAGCTCATAGACCCGCACCCCCAGACACCCCTTCAGAACATGCCTGGTTTCACCCACAGGAGGCTGATGACAGGCACACATGCCCTTCTCAGAAGGCAGAATGGACAAGCTCCAAGCCCCATGGCTGGGGTTCTTTCTGGCATTTGGTGCCTTATCTGACCCATTGTGGGTTGGATAGGAGAAGCCACAGGGCCTCCTACTGTGAGCAGATGGGAGTTGGCCTCAGAAAGTGAGTTCCCTGTCCCTGGGGGTATGGAAGCAGATGCTTCTCCCATCCCAAGAGGGCATTTTGTCCAGATGTCCTCCAAGGCCCCTTCAGCCCAGAATTCCAGGGCCCTTATGTGGAGTGGCAACTGCTCCCTGCCTGGTCACACAGCAGGGCCCAAACTCAAGGAGCTGCCCAGACATGTTTGTGGTCACTGCCTGCCCTGTGCCTTCCACACTCTCCTCCTCCCTCCTATCCGCCTATCAGATGGAAACTCAGTGTGGTCATGGCAGATAGAACTTGCCCAGGCTACTGCTGCCCACACAGTTGAACCCCACACCACACAGGCAAGGGAGGAAGACAGAACCAAAGGCTTATTCCACCACCTGCTGCCTGGAATCGTGCAACGGAGATGCCACCCTCCATCCTTGCTTGCCCCTGAGTAACTTCCTGAGACCATCCTGTGAGCCTCCTCACAAAGAGAGAGAAACTGCAGTTGGCAAAGCCCAGACAATACACTTCCATCCCATGGGGTGAGGAAGTGTCGGTGGGGAGAACTTACAGAGATACCAGCCACCCATTAGGACAACACCAGGCAAATCAGCCCCTGTGCCCACCCAAGCAGGCCCTCCGCTGGAAGCCTCTCCATGCTCTTCCTCATGTGTACCACTGACACCCCACCACCAGCTCCTGGTCTTCCCTTGACTGTCTTCCCCAAGTGCACATCTGACCACCTCCTCATCTTGCCCCACCAACTCTTCATTCTTGTCTCCAGCAAGTTCCCAAGTTCTTCCACCATACCACCTAAAACCTACCTAGGTCTGAGATGGGCACCCATTTACACACCTGTGCCAGGGCCCTCACCACAAGGTCACAGCCAGATGTCTGTATGTGAGTCAGCTCACCCAGGCTGAGAATACCTCACCTAGAGAGGGGCCAAAGCACAGCCCAGCTCCATGCTGCTCCATACAGTTGCCCACTCTGATGAACATACCAGGCCCCTGCTATCCTGCCCCTGCTGGGAAACTTCCTGTCTTCACCATTCAACTTGAGGGCACTGGCATCTGGAACCTTTCCCAAACCCACAGGTGACAGAACTGACTGCATCTGTCTCCTTTTAAAGACTTGGGAGTGGGAGGTGGCACCTAGGATGAAGGACACACTATCTCCATGTCCAACTCCTCCAACAGATTGGGGATCCCCTGAAGGCAGACTGCATCTGGCCCATCATGAGGTTCAGGACTTGCTAAAGGATAGGAGCTTAGAGAGTATATTCTATGGTGAATGAATGGATAGCAGGTGGATTGTGAATGTATGATGGATGGTGGATAGATGGTGGATGAATGGAAAGATAGCTGAATAGTGGATGAGTGAGTGATGAATACATGAGTGGATGGGGGAAGGGTAGATGGATGGTAGACAGGTGAATAGATGGATGGATGGGTGGATGGTAGATGAATGGAAGGATGGGTGAATGGATAGTGGATGGATAGATGGATAGTAAATGGACGGATAGCAGATGGATCAGTGGGTGGGTGGATGGATGGTGGGTGTGTGAATGGATAACGAATAGACGAATGGAGGATGTATAAATGATGTATGGATGGTGAATGGGCAGATGGATGGATGAATGGAGGAACAGTGGGATGGATAGATGAATAGTAAATGGATGGATGGTGGATGGGTGGATGGTGAATGGATGGCTGGTGGATGGTGAATGGATGGATGGTAGCTGTATGGATGACTGGATGGATTATGAATGGACTGATGGACAGATGACAGAAGGATGGATGATAGATGAATGGCCAGATGATGGATGGATGGTGGATAGCAGATGGATGGAAGGTGGATAGGTAAATGGATAAATGGATGAACAGATGGATGATGAGTACACAGATGGGACCCATTTGAGAACTAAAGGCCGGACAGTAGGGGACGAACACTCAAGGACAAGCACTCAGGGATGACCAGCTCTGGGTGCAAAGTATGACCCAGGCTGAAGGCTCCTAAAATCTTGTTTGCATGCTTGCCCAAATCCATACACTTGTCATAGGCATGCTTTTGCATCTGCACCTTTGAGCCTGTCAGGCATGCAGATGTGTGTAAACATAGATGCGCTGGCATGTGCGTGCATCCGTAGCATAGGAGTAGGCTTTTGGAGGATGGAAGTCAGGAAGGTCCTGCCTCCACCTTAAGGCCCAAGTCTATGGCAGCTGGGCCCCCCATCTCCCTCCCGCAGGTGGCATTAATCCTGGACAGGGACCCCACACACACCCTGGAATTTCTCAAGACTACCTTCACCAGCCTACTCGCCAGTGACCTCTCTGGTCTTTGGCTTCAGTGGCCAGGGGTTGGAAAATTGCCAGCCCCAAGACAAGATCACTGTAGGAAGTCTTGGGTTTCTGCCCCCTGCCCGCTGACAGCTGCCAATGGGTGGGACGTTCTGGTGCCCAGGAAGCTGGGCATCTGCAGGCAGAGTGACCGGTGTGGAAAGGGGCTGCCCACCTGTGACTTTCAGCTGGGCCTCAGAGCTACACGTGCCCATGTGGAAACTGACAGTTCCAGCATCTTCAAGGGTCACCTAGGAAGCAGGGAGAGACATGCTTGGCCCTGAGAGCCCCCATCCCGACCAGGAGGAGCCCAGCCAGCTTGCCAGACCTCAGTGACAGGAGGTCATCACTTCCCCAACACAACCCCCTGGTGGAAGACCTTCCTGAATGGAGTTGGAAGCATTCCTGTCCTGGTACACTCAGGTCCCAGAGGCCTCACCTTGTGCAGGGTAAGCAGGTGGAGTGTGCCCTGCTCCACAGTGATGTCATTCATCTCGTTGTCCTGCAGGGGCACCCCTCCTAAAGCCCAGCAGGCTTCCTGGCCTGAAGCTCTGGATAGCCGGCACTGGAAGCTGGCATCCTGGCCCTCACTGAGCTGCACGTCCTGCAGGGGCTCCAGGATGGTCACCTCAGGAGCTGGACACAGGGGAGGCATGGGTGTCAGCCTCAGCGTCTGAGATGCCCCCTCAATCAGCACAGTCTCATCGTCCTGGGAGTCCATCCCTGGGTATCCTCCCCCACGCACAAAGACATGCACATGGGGGCCTGTTCTCAGCTCCCCACTCCAGTTGCAGGCAGAGCCTGCTCTAATGGACAGTGGATGGGTGAATGGATCAATGGAGGAATGAATGGATGGATAATGGGTGGATGGATGGATGGCTGATCAATGGATAAATAGATGGATTGTGGATGGATCGATGGATAATGGATGGATGATGGATGGATGGATAGTGAATGGGTGGATGAATGGGTGAATGGTAAATGGATGAATGAAAGGATGGATGACGGGTGGGTAAATGGGACTAGTGTGAGAACTAGAGGAGATGGTGCAGATGACTGAGGGCTGGGAGTGGGTTATGGTTTGCAGTGGCCCCGCCACGAGGGCCAAGACCCAAACTCCAACACTGTGTCAGCCTACTGGAAGCTCACGACCACCTGCCTCACCAGCCTGACTCAGCCTACTCTCCTCTGACATCCTGGGGCCACCCTGAAATGCCAGCTCACAGGTCCACCTCCCTGCCAGGCCCCAGCCTCCAAAGGCAGGAACCTTTGCTGTCTGGCTCCATACCCAGCAGGGCCCAGACATTCTAACCCCATGCACTGGTGGGGCCTGCCTGTGGCTACCTCTGATGGTGAGCTGGGCGGAGGAAGCACAGTTGCCCAAATGGAAGGAGACAGTGCCAGCATCCTCAGGTGTCACACCCTTCAGTCGCAGTGTGTGGATGCGGCCATCCTGCACAGTCACTTCTGTCACCTCATTGCTTTGCAGTGGCAGGCCTTGTAGGCACCACTGCATGCCTGTGGCTCCAGCCCTGGACACCTCGCAGCTGAACTCAACATCCTCATTGGCCAGCACCTCTGCATCAACCAGCCCCCGCACAATGGTCACCTCAGGCTCTGAGGGGTGGGGCGAGATGGTTCCCTTTACCAGCCAGGTAAAAGAGCCTAGGCCAAGCTCCCATGCCCACTCCTCCAGGAAGTCTTCCTGGGCACCCTCATACTCTTCTGCCATGGCCCATCTGTCCCACATGGCTTTTGTTTCCTGATGTGCTCACAAGCACAGATCCTGCCATGACACTGAGCTCTTTGGGGACAGAACCTGGGCTGGAAGTGTGGGCCAAGAGGGCAGTTGTGTCTGAGGAACGGGAAGGGGTCATGGGACACCCAACTGCCTGTCAACTCCCACAACGCAGCCAGCCCCATCCTGGCTAGCACAGCAGGGAGGCAAGGCTTGTAGGAGAAATAGGTGGGGGCTCAGCAGCGCACCCTCGCACCAGCCTCAGGGGTGGGCTTGAGGGGCTGCAGCCTGTTTCCTTGCTGCCCAGGTTCTCTCGGAGAGCCCTGACAGGGACACTGGGAAGTGCGAGGGTGAGGAGGAAGACAGCGTGAGAGCAGGGGACTCAGGTGCACCCAGAAGGCAACCATAAGTGGGTGGGTTGGCAGGGAAGGGCTCACCCTCTCCTCTGGGAGGCCCCACCACTCACCTGTGACCCTGAGGGAGGCAGTGGTTTTCTGGCCACCTGTCACGCAGGCATACTCGCCCGTGTCCTTGGCCTCCAGTTGGTGGATCAGCAGCTCCCGCATGGCCCCCTGGCTCCGCATTTCGTACTTGGGGCCCGCATGCAGCTCCACACCCTCCTTGAGCCATTGCACCGTGGCCCCCGACTCTGCATCGCTCAGCTGACAGCACAGCCGGGCTATGTCACCTGTCTCCTGCGCCAGGCTCTGCAGCTGGGTCTTGAACTTGGGCCTGGGGACTGCGGGGGATGCAGGAAGGGATGCTTAACACTTCTTGCCTCTGACCAAGGGTGAGGGGCTGTGGGAGGCAGGGGTTGGTGAGCAGCTCACCACGGACAGAGAGGCTGGCCATGCTGTGTGTGTGGCCCGTGTCGCACGTGTAGTCACCCGCATCCTCCTGCTCCACTCCGTGTACCAGCAGCTCCGCAGCTGCACCATCCTGCACCATCTGGTACTTGGCACAAGGGAAGAGCTCCAGGGAGCCCTTGCGCCACTCCACACTTGCACCCGCCCGGCTCAGCTCACAGCGGAAGTGTGCTGTGCCTCCCTCATCCACCTCCTGGGGCTGCAGCTCTTGGAGGAACCGCACAGGGGCAGCTGCAGGGAAGGGAGCAGGGCGTGAGGACAGGTCCCTGAGGAGCTATAAGGGGGAATGAACAAGTGTGATACAGGGCAAAGTGGGGAGGGGGAACCGCACCAGAGCAGCTACCAGGAAGGAGGCAGGCCCAAAGCACTGGAACTGTGCTATATCCTGGGCCAGGTCAGCCTGGGTTCCCACCTGTGACAGTGAGGGTGGCGCTGGTGGCCTGGGAGCCACAGGTGCAAGTGTATTCTCCAGTGTCTTCACGTCGTAGGCCCCGTAACACCAGCTCCGCAGTGCAGCCCTGAAGCCGTGGCTCCCGGTGCCCATTGGCCTGCAGCTGCAGGCCACCCTTGCTCCAGACCACTGTAGCAGTGGGCTCAGACAGCTCACACTGCAGGGTGGCTGTGGAGCCCTCCTCTGCCTGCAGACTCTGCAGCGGCTCCCGGAACACTGGCTGTGGGGCTGCAAGGGGCAAGGGGCAGGGTCAGCTCCAGATCTACACCAGGCATCGCTCTCCAGGCCGGCAGATGAGGACCTGGGCTCCTCCCAGCTCCCTGGCCTGGCTCCACAGGCGGTGCTGCCTCAGATGGTACCACCAGTCTGTGATTCAGGAGCGAGAAGGCAGCGTGGTGGGAAAGCAGGGAGGGGCTAGATCTACCCAGGGCTTAGGAGGCTGTCCTCTCACCCAGGACCCCACTCCCAACTCCCACAGAGCCACACCCTCCAGAGCCCAGGGCAAGGATGTGTACTTCAGAACCCAAGGTGAGGCCCTGTACCCCATACCCAAGGGCAGAGCTGAGTCCCCCAGATCCCAGGGCGAGGCCAGGGCCCAGGGATCTAGGTTCCACCTCCCCTCCGTGGGCACCCAAATCCCAGGGCAGGAATGTGTATTCAGACTCCAGAGTGAGGCCATGTCTTCCAGACCCCAGGACAGGGCCATGTCCCCCAGACTCCAGGGCAGTGACCGGGTTCCCTTAGACCCTCAGGTGTCATGGGGGCTGTTTGCCCCACAAGGCTACACTGAGAACCAGGGCCAGCCTGCAGGGCCCAGGGCTCTAGGTCCTGCCTCCCTTTCCTGGGCACCAAAGGCCTCCCTCCAAGAAGGACATGAGACCCTGTGGCTAAAAGACTTCAGGTCTCAAATGAAGGATGGCAGAAAGTTGGATTGATTAGGTAGTGATGGGAGGCAGGGGGAGAGAGACAAGGTGGGAATTCCTTCCCTACAACCATGACTGGTACACAAGGTCACATGGCTGAAGCTCAGTATAGATACCAGGGCACGGGATAACGTTGGAACCCATGAGCAGAGGGGACAGAGGAAACAGCAGGAGGAAGAGGAAAGGAGCATCCACAAGGAGAAGGTGTGCTGTCCCTGTGACTGCACATGGAGGAAAGACACACACCCACATCAGTCCATGTGGCCACATGTGGTCATTACCCTTGACAATGAGAGTGGCTGACGTCTTCTCCTGCCCACATACACATGAGTACTCCCCAGTGTCTGCCACGGACAGGCCATGAATCTGCAGCTCACATCTGGTCCCGTCCTGCCTCAGGCTATATCTGTCCCCATCTCTGAGGGTTTCAGGTCCCTTCCTCCACTCAACAGGGGCCGCCTTGCTCAGCTCACATTGCAGCATAGCTGTGGCCCCTTCTGTGGCCTCTTCATTCTTCAGACCCTTTGTGAACTTGGCAGGCAAGGCTGGGGAGGTCAGAAGATAAGGACACAATCATGCCTCTGAGCCCACAGAAGAGACAGGACACGGATGACAGAAAAGACACAGAACCCAAATGGACATGAGCCACATCGGGATGTACTGAGCACAGGCTGTGCACTGTGGCTTCCCTCAGTCCAGGCTGTACAGCACACGACCATGGCCCCTTCTGTGGCCTCCTCATGCCTAGGTCTTTGTATGAATCTGGCACATACAGAGCTGGAGAGGGTCAATCACACGTGAAAATCAGATCATCTGGAGCACTTTGGTGGACAGAATATGAGAGAATGGAGGACAAGACATAGAGCCCAACAGGGCAACATGACTGAACCCATGCTGGTACACAGGTGGGAGCTGGCTGGAGATGCTGTTTTCTCCTGGTTTCTGCAACAGCCCAGGAGGCTGGAAGGGATTCTGTGGAATTATGGGAACAGGATGACATGGACACAGGGAGACGACACGGAATGAGAGGAGACGGAGGGCATGAAATCAGTACTGGCACACTAGAACATGGCTTTGCTTGGCCACATGTGATCTTTACCCCTGATGGTGAGTGTGGCTGAGGTCCTCTCCTGCCCACAAATGCACGAGTACTCCCCGGCATCTGCCACAGCCAGGCCACGAATCTGTAGCTCACACCTGGTCCCGTCCTGCCTCAGGCTTTATCTGTCCCCATCTCGGAGGGTTTCAGGTCCCTTCCTCCACTCCACAGGGGCCGCCTTGTTCAGTTCACACTGCAGTGTGGCTGTGGTCCCTTCTGTGGCCTCCTGGTTTGTCATGTTGTCTATGAATCTGGCTGGCAGGGCTGGGAAGGACCAAGCAGTCACTGAGATCATCAGACTATCTGGACAACTCTGTGGACAGGACACAGACACACACAAGGAGCCACACAAACCACCAAAGGACCATGGCAGAATGAGCAAATGAATGTACGGAAGGCGAGAAAGCACCTGGCCCAAGAGGAACAGAGAACATGCAGGGATGGGGATGAACAGGAGGACATCTCCTGATGAAGAGAAGGGGAGGCAGGAGATGCCCAGAGGACCCCAGTTAGAGGACAGACAACTTCAGGGTTCCCACAGGGATGCCACATTTGGAAGTAGAAAGTGGTGACACAGAGACACATAGATCCCAAGCCGCAAGTCCATGTGACCACACGGGATCTTTACCCCTGACGGTGAGTGTAGCTGAGGTCCTCTCCTGCCCGCATACACACAAATACTCTCCAGTATCCTCCACAGCCAGGCCACGAATCTGCAGCTCACACCTCGTTCCGTCCTGCCTCAGACTGTATCTGTCCCCATCTCTAAGGGTCTCAGACCCCTTCCGCCACTCCACAGGGGCCACCTTGCTCAGCTCACACTGCAGCACAGCCGTGGCCCCTTCTGTGGCTTCGTGATTTCTCACATCTTCTATGAATCTGGCCGGGAGGGCTGGGAAGGATCAAGCAGTCACTGAGATCATCAGAATAACTAGACGATTCTGTGGACAGGACACAGACACACACAAGGAGGCACACAAACCACCACAGGACCATGGCAGAATGAGCAAATGAATGTACAGAGGGTGAGAAAGCACATGGCCCAGGAGGAACAGAGAACACAGTCCCCATCTCTGAGGGTCTCAGGTCCCTCCTTCCATTCCACAGGGACCACCTTGCTCAGCTCACACTGTGGTGTGGCTGTGGCCCCTTCTGAGGCCTCCTTGGTCTTCAGATCTTGTGTGAATTGGGCAGGCAGGGGTACGAAGGGTCACATGGACAGAAGCCATCAAGCCCTCGGGAGGATCTGAGGGACACACCTGAACATCCAGGAAGAAAACAGAAGCAGGAAGGCTGGAGGGACTTGGGATGAGGTGGACCAAAGTGCATTTGACAGTGAAGACTTCCTACATTCTGCCTGTGAGGTGCAGATTGGGTGGGAGATGGGCTCCATTCTGGATCTCTTCTCAGAGGGCATCTTGTCCTACCTGTGAACTTTCATCATGGGGAAGCAAGACAGGCTCCTCCAACTTGCAACCCACATATGCAATAATGTGATGGACATCTCTCTATGATGACATAGGAGGCACCTTCAGGTCCCAATATCCACTGATCCCTTGTCATCCCTCACACAACAGACAGCCTGACCAGACAGGCCTTCCATCCAGCACTGCCCATGCTTAGATATACCTCAGCTCACTGTACAACATCCCAGCCCACACAATGCCCTGCTACCTGCATCTAACATGCTCCTGGACTGACCCTATGAATCCACATTCCCACATATTACCCTGATTCATATCACCTAGATAATGAAGACACCAGATGTGGCCTCAAACCACACCTCTGAACCTCCAATCTACCATTCTCTCTTGCCTCCTGACTCCAGACAGGGGGCTCACAAGTTAGCAGAGCAGAGCCTAACCCAATTACATAGCCATAGCCTGCTATGGGTTGTGTTTCTACAGAAGTCAAACGTTGAAGTCCTAACTTCCACTATCAGAATATGACTGTTTTTGAGATAGGGCCTTTAAAGAGGTGATTAACGCTAAATGGGATCACAAGGGTGGCATCTAATCCAATATAAATGCTGTCCTCATAAGAAAAGGAGATTAGGACACAAACACAGAAGGACCAGTGAAGACACAGAGAAAATGGCTGCCTACAAGCCAAGGAGAGAGGCCTCAGAAGGAGCCAACCCTACTGACACCTGGAACTCAAACCATCTAGTCTCCAGAATGGTGAGGAAATACATTTCTGTTATTTATACCACCCAGTCTATGATACTTTCTTTATGGCAATCCAAGCAAACAAATTCAGACTTTGGTACCAGGAGTGGGGTGCCAAAGGAACAAATACCTATAAATGTGGACGTGGCTTTAGAACTTCGTAATGGGAGGTAGCTGAAAGATATTTCAGGCGCATGCCAAAAAACAGTGTTTGCAGGCAGCAATTGTTGGTGAAAACATGGGTGTTAAAAGTGACTCTGGTCAAGCCTCAGATGACAATGGAAGACATATTATTAAAAACTGGAGAAAGACTATCATTGTTATACAGTGGCCAAAAACCTGGTCAAATTTTATTCTAGTGTTCTGTGGAAGGTAGGACTTGTAAACAACAAAATTGGATATATTTACCTGAGGAAGTTTCTAAGCAAAGAATTGAAACCATAGCCTGGTTTCTGTCTAATATGAAAATGTGAGAGGAGACAGATAAAATTCAAAAAGGATTTGTTAAGCAAAAAGGAACCAGAACTTGAAGATACAGAAAAATTTTCAGGCTATACGTACTGCAAAAAAAAAAAAAAAAATTGAGAAAGCATTATTCTGGGAGAATATCAATGCTGGACAACCATTTGCTAAACAGATCAGGTGTGTGGTTTATGGATCCATTCAGCCTTCTCAGCAGAAGTCAGTAATAAAAATGAGATCATCAAGGAAAGATCTGTGGAAAACTCTTGTCTGGTGGCTTTGATCCACATAGATCACATGGGACAAAGTTTTTGAGACCTTTATACCAGAGGAAATGCTGTGCTAGCTTGAATTGATTGGAACAGAGATGGGACAAAATGAATGAAGGATGTCAGACTTCTGAGAATCCACAGGATGGGCCAATAGAGCTACATGGATATAAACATGATATTCCACAAAAAAAAGGAATAATGACCCCAAAATTGGTTCAGGGGTTGACAGGAATGGCACTATAACCAGGGGGTAGAGGGCACAGGCTCCAGAAGTAAGGCTGTCTCCTCCTCAGTTACAGAGAGCCAGACACCTCCACTCAGGGCTGAGGGGGTAGAGTTGCAATCCTATTGGGTCCAGAGGACAGGGCATTAATCCAAAGCCTTAAAACCTAATGATATTTGTCCTGCTAGGGTTATATCTTGCTTGGGACCCATGACCCATTTCTCCTTTCCAGTTTTTCCCTGATTAAGAATGTCCATCCTATGCCTGTCCCACCATTGTGACTTCAAAGCAAATAACTTGTCTGATTTCTCAGCCTCACAGGTGAAGAAAAATTTTGCCTCTGGATGAGTCACACTTTGTCTCCCTCACAGTTGACTCAGGTTATATTTAGAGGTGATTTGGACTAGTTGATACTGAAATGGGCTAAGATTTGGGACTGTTAGAAAGAAGTAAACATATTTCGCATGTGAGAAAGGCCATGAATTTTGACAATCCACATGGTGGAGTGTTATGGTCTGAATTGCACCTCAGAAAAAATGCATATGTTGAAGTCCTAACTCCCAGTACACTTCAGAATGTCACTGTATTTAAAGACAATCATCGAAAGGTAAAATGAGGTTGTTTAGGGTGGTTCCAAATCCAGTATGACTGGTGCTCTTATAAAAAGAGGTTATTAGGACACACATATGCACACAGAGGGACAACCATATGAAGACACGGGGAGAAGACAGCCATCTACAAGAAGAGAGGAGCTGACACCTTGGTCTTGAGATTTCAGCCCACTTCTGAGAAAATAAATCTCTGTTATTTGAGCCACACTGTCTGCAGTGATTTGTTACATTAGCCTGAGCAGATGAAGACAATACTCCTTTAGAAGCTTAGAATGACCACAAGGATCAATCAAAACACTCACCAGACTGAAGAGGGGCCTGGCCTAAGCCATTGCTATGTCTGTCAAAGGACACATTTCCTGACCTCCGTGCCTGGGGCCCAAGAGCTGGTGGACATCCACAGGCCCTTGCAAGATGGCAGGGGCCCCAGATAGCTCTCCTGGACCCTGACACCTGCCTGCTGCTCTCCCTGTCCTGACCCCTGGGGTCTGTGTGCCCAGGCCCTAGATTAGGTCATCCAAGTGGGTTCTCAGTGTGCATTTGTCGGATGGACCACACAGATGAGTGACTGAATAAAATGTCAACGACATTGAGAGACACTGGGAGAGCACAGACCATGTGGGTTAAGTTGGGGAAGACAAAAGTCATTCAGGTGGTCACATGTGGTCTTTACCCCTGACAGTGAGCATGGCCGAGGTCCTCTCCTGCTCACATATGCACGAGTATTCTCCAGCATCTGCTATGACCAGGCCATGAATCTGCAGCTGACACCTGGTCCCATCCTGCTTCAGGCTGTATCTGTCCCCATCTCTGAGGGTGTTGGGCCCCTTTCTCCACTCCACGGGGGCCGCCTTTCTTAGCTTACATTGCAGTGTGACTGTAGTCCCTTCTGTGGCCTTCTGACTTCTCATATCCTCTATGAATCTGGCAGGCAAGGCTGAGAAGTACCAAACAGTCACTGATATCATCAGACTGTCTGGAGGATTTTTTGGACAGAACATGGACACCAATAACGAGCCACACAAGCCACCAAAGGACCACAGCAAGATGAGCAATATACAAACAATGAGAAGGCAAATGGCCCAGGAGGCACAGAGAACACACAGGGACATGCATGAGCAGGACATCTCCTGATGAGAAGGGGAGGCAGGAGAAACCTAGAGCGTCCCAGTTAGAGGACAGACAATCACAGGGTTTCCACAGGAGCTGTGCCACATTTGGAGGCAGAAGGTGGTGACACAGAGAGGTGTACACACCAAGCCACAAGCCCACATGGCCACACAGGATCTTTACCCCTGACAGTGAGTGTAGCTGAGGTCCTCTCCTGCCCACACACGCAGGAGTACACCCCGGTATCTGCCATAGCAAGGCCATGAATCTGCAGCTCACACACAGCCCCTTCTTGTCTCAGGCTATATTTGTCCCCATCTCTGAGAGCCTCGAGGCCTTTCCTCCACTCCACAGGGGCTGCCTTGCTCAGCTCACATTGCAGTGTGGCTGTGGCCCCTTCCATGGTTTCTTCATTCCTCAGACCCTCTGTGAACTTGGCGGGCAGGGCTGGTGGAGGGATCAGAAAGACATGGACACAATTACACTGAGCACATGAAAAAGACAGGACATGGATGGCACAGAGAAGACACAAACCCCAAATGGACACAGACCACATGCAGGGTATGCCAAGCACAGGCTGTAGATTCCCTCTGTTCAGCCTGGTAACATCACAGTCATGGCCCCTTCGTGGGCTCCTCAGGTCTCAGAGATAACATGAATCTGGCATGCAGGGCCAGAGAGAGTCAGAAAACACAGAGAACATTAAACTCCTTGGAAAGCGCTGGTAGACAGGACATGACAAGATGAAAGAAAGACACAATCCAATAGGACAGGGCCCACAGTATCACAGGAGTGGGAATCTGGATGTAGATGAGCTTCTTCTGGTTCCTTCAGCAACCCAGGAAGCTGGAAGGGATAGCGTGGCATGATGTGAAGAGTGTGGCAGTCTGGGGGAGACCATGCAATGGGCAGAGATTGACGGCAGGAAGTGAACAACTGGACACCAGAACGCAGATCTGGACACATGGACTTTACCCCGGATGGTGAGCGTGACCGAGGTCCTCTCTTGTCCACATATGCATGAGTATTCCCCAGCATCTGCCACAGACAGGTCATGGATCTGCAGCTCACACTTCGTCCCATCCTGCTTCAGGCTGTATCTGCCCCCATCTCTGAGGGTCTCAGGACCCTTCTTCCATTCCACAGGGGCCACCTTGCTCAGCTCACACTGCAGTGTAGCTGTGGCCCCTTCTGAGGCCTCCTTGGTCTTCAGATCTTGAGTGAATCGTGCAGGCAGGGCTAGGAAGGGTCACATGGACAGAAGCCATCAAATCCACTGGAGGATCTGAGGGACACAACCTGATTATCCAGGAAGGAAACAGAAGTAGATCTCGAGGACATGGGATAAGGTGGACCAAAGACTGTGCGAGACTGAGGTCTTCCTGTGTTCTGCCTGTGAGGTGCAGATTGACTGGGAGATGGGCTCCATCCTGGATCTATTCTCAAAGGACATCTTGTCCTACCCATGTCCTATCATTCTAGGAAGCAAGACAGGCTCCTCCAACTTCCACATATGCAATAATGTGACACATCTCTCTCTTCTCTCTCTCCAGTCTCACAGGAGGCACCTCCTTGTCCTGACACCTGCTTCCCCATTCTCATACAGGAGATACCCATCCCAGGCAGGGCTTCCATCCAGCACTACTCATGCATGGGCATACCTCGGCTCACTGCCAACCATACCAGCCCACACAAGGACCTGCTGTCTCCACCTCACTGCTCCTGTCCTGACTTTACTGGATACACATTGCCTTGGCTCAATCACCAAAACCCCCAATAGACTCCAGATATGGCTTCGACACCACACCTCTGACCCTTCAACCTGCTGTCCTCTCTTGCTTCCTGACTCTAGGTAGAGTGACAGCTCACAAAGTACAATGGAGCAAGCCCCACCCTGGTTACCCCCTGTTACGGTCTGATTGTGTCCCCCTAAATTCATATGTTCAAACCTAACCTCTGGAACCTCAGAGTGTGACTGTATTAAAGATAAGGCCTTTAAAATGGTAACTAAGGTTAAATGAGGTTGTTAGGGTGTGCCCAAATCCAATATGACTGGTGTCCTTATAAAAAGAGGATATTAGGACACAGAGACACACTGAGGGGTGACCACGCGAAAAAACAGAAGACTGCATCAACAAGCCAAGGAGAGAAGCCTCAGAGGAAGTCAACCTAATAACACTTCACCTCAGACTTCTAGTCAGAAATCTAACAGAAATATTGGTACCAGGAGTAGGGTGCCATTGTAACAATTATCTAAAAATGTGGAAGTGGAAATCTAGATTGCTGTGAACAACCTGTTCATGTAAAGATGGACATTAAAAATGCTTCTGGTCAGACCTTAGATGGAAATAAAGAACAGGTTATTGGAAAGTGGAGGAAAGGTGATCCTCGTTATTACGTGGCAAAGAACTTGTCCAAATTGTGTTGTTGTGTGTAGAAGGTAGGACTAAGAAACAATAAAATTTTGCATGTTTAATTGAGGAAATTTCTAAGTAAAGTGTTGAAGGTGCAACCTGTTTTCTCTTTGCTGCTTATTGTAAAGTGCAAGAGGAGGGAAATAAATTGAAGAAGGAATTGTAAACAAAAAAGGAACCAATACTTAAAGCTTTGGAAATTTTTCAGCCTAGCCACATGGTAAAAAATGAGAAACTGTGTTCTGAAGAGAACATCAAGGGTGTGGCTAGACAACCATTTGCTAAAGCACCAGGTGTGCAATTTATGGATCCAATTAGTCATCTCAACAGAAGCCAGGAATAGAGACGCAGTTATCTGGAAAAGCCTCTTGTCTGATGGTGTGGACCTCCATGAATTGCATGGGAGGCCAACTCAGTTTTTGATAATCTTATACCAGCAGATTGGAGTGAATTGGATTGAGGTGGGATAAAATGAAGGAAGGCTATCAGACTTCCGGGATTCACCAGGATGAGCTATTATCACTATATGGCTGCAAACATGTCTTATCCTTCAAAATAAAAGAATGGCCCCAAAGGCATCAGCAGGGCTGTCACTGCCACTAGAGGTCCAGGGATCAGGACCACCTCTTCCCAGAACAGAGGGGGAAGAGGTTGTTACCCAAGGATGAGTGGATAAGATATTACCCAGGTCTGAGAGATTGGGGACAACACTCTGGTTGGCATGGAGGACTGGAATTAAGTCAAAGAGAATTATTTTTCAGGCTTTTAGAAAAAAAGTAGAGATGGGGTCTCACTGTCACCCAGGCTGGAGTGCAGTGCAATTATAGCTCACTGCAGCCTCAAACTCCCAGGCTCAAGTGATCTTCATGCCTCAGCCTCCCCAGTAACTGGAACCCCAGGTGTGCACCACCACATCTAATACTTTTTTTTTTTTTTTAGAAAAAGGGTCTTGCTATATTTTCCAGACTGGTCTAGAATACCTGGCCTCAAGTAATTCTCCTGCCTCGGCCACCCAACGTGCTAGGATTATAAACGTGAGCCACTGTACTGAGTCACCAGCCTTAAAATCTAGTGAAATTTGCTCTGCTAGGTTCAGACCTGCATAAGATCCAAGACCCACTTTTTCTTTCCAACTTCCCCTCTTTTGAACAGGAACGTCTATCCTATGCCTGCACCACCATTGAATTTTTGAAGCACAAAACTTGTCTGGTTTCATGCTTCACAACTGAAGAAGAATTTTGCCTCAGAATGTCATACTTCACCTCCCTCACGCTTGACTTAGATGACATTCAGATGAGATTCTGATTTTGAGTTGATGCTGGAATGGGTTAAGATTACGGGCTGTTAGGAAGGAGTAAATATATTTTGCATGTTAGAAGGTAATTAATTGTGGGAAGCCAGAGGGCAGAATGTCATGGTCTGAATTGAGTCCCCTCCCCAAATCCGTATGTTGAAATCCTAACTCCTAGTACTTCACAATGTCACAGTACTGAAATAGGATCTTTGAAAGGTAAAATGAGGTTGTTAGAGTGGGCCCAATCCAATATGACCAGAGAGTATCTACAAGCCAAGAAAAGAGGCCTAAGGACAAACCAACTGAGTGACCCCTTGATCTTGGAATTTCAGACTCCAGAAGTCTGAGAAAATAAGTATCTGCTGTGAAGTTACCCAGATGTAGTGCTCTGCTGTGTCCGCCAAGCAGACAAAGGCAGCAGTCCTTCAGGAGCCTGGCATGACCACAAGAACCACTCAAACACTCTCAGCAGATTTAGTGGAGCCTGGCCTGACCACCTCCTCAGTGAGCCCCCAACCCTACTGTGCATGTCCATCAGCAGAAACACAGGCCCTCACCTCTAGGCCTGGGTCCCCAGAGCCCGCGCACATGTGCAAGCACCAGCAAGATGCCAGTGGCCTCAGACAGTTCTCCTGGACCCTGACGTCTGTCTGTGGAGCTCTCCTTTGGGTCCCTTCCCTATTCACTCTTGAAGTCCATATTCCCAGGCCCTAGATTAAGTCATCCAAGTGGGTTCCATGTGCATTTGTGGGATGTATCACACAGGGGAGTGACTGAATGAGTCACTTGAGGCATTGTCTTGAGGCAATGACATCAACAGGCATTGGGAGAGCACAGAACATATGGGTTAGGCGGGAGGAGACAGGAATCACTCAGGTGGCTATATGTGGTCTTTACCCCTGATGGTGAGCGTGGCCGAGGTCCTCTCCTGCCCACACACACACGAGTACTCCCCAGTGTCTGCCACGGACAGGCCACGAATCTGCAGCTCACATCTGGTCCCGTCCTGCCTCAGGCTGTATCTGTCCCCATCTCTCAGGGTCTCAGACCCCTTCCTCCACTCCACGGGATCCGCCTTGCTCAGCTCACACTGCAGCACGGCTGTGGCCCCTTCTCTAGCCTCCTGGTTTTTCACGTCTTCTATGAATCTGGCAGGCAGGGCTGGGAAGGACCAAGCAGTCATTGAGATTATTAGACCATCTGGAGGACTCTGTGGACAAGACATGGACACCCACAAAGAGCCACACAAACCATCAAAGGACCACATGTGAAAGAGCAAACAAACGTACACATGGGGAGGAGGCAAATGGCCCCAGAGGAACAGAGAACACACAAGCAAAAGGATATGAGCATGAGGACACCTCCTGGATAAGAAGGGAGGCGGGAGATGCCCAGAGGACCCCAGTTAGAGGACAGACAACCATGGGGTTGCCACAGAACCATGCCACATTCGAAGGCAGAAGGTGGTGACACAGAGATGTGGAGACACTAAGCCATGGTCCACATAGCTACACACGATCTTTACCCCTGACAGTGAGTATGGCTGAGGTCCTCTCCTGCCCACACACACACGAGTACTCGCCGGCATCCACCACAGTCAGGCCACGGATCTGCAGCTCACATCTGGACCCATCCTGCTTCAGGCTGTGTCTGTCCCCATCTCTGAGGCAGTCATGCCCCTTCCTCCACTCCACCGGGGCCACCTTGCTCAGCTCACACCACAGTATGGCCGTGGCCCCTTCTGTGGCCTCTTCATTCCTCAGACCCTCTATGAACTTGGAAGGCAGGGCTGAAGAGGTCAAAAGACACAGATATAATCATATTCTCTGAGCACATGGAAGAGATAGGAATGACATGGATGGCACAGACAAGACACAGAACCCAACTAGGCACAGGCTGCATGGGGGTGTGCTGAGCACAGGCTGTGGACTGGGACTTCTCTTAGTACAGGCTCTACAGCACATGGCCACGGCCCCTCCTGTGGCCTCCTCACATCTCAGCCTTTATAGGAATCTCTGGCACCCAGGCCCAGAGAGGGTCAGAAACACATGAAGAACATCAGGGGACAGAATGTGACAGGATGGAAGACACAGAATCCAACGTGACGATGTTGACAGAGTCTTCAGAGGCACACAGGGGGAGCCGGCTAGAGAGGCTGCTTCCTCCTGCTTCCTACAACAGCCCTGGAGGCTGGAAGAAGCTTGTGCAGTTACACAGGCAGGCACAGACATGGGGAGAGAACACAGCATGGGCAGAGACAGATGGCGTCAAGTCAACATGTGGACACCAGAGCATGGCGCTGCTTGGCCGCGTGTGGCCTTTACCCCTGACGGTGAGCATGGCTGAGGTCCTCTCCTTCCCGCACATGCACAGGTACTCCCCAGCATCCTCTGTCACCAGGCCGCGGATCTGCAGCTCACACCTGGCCCCGTCCTGCATCAGGCTATGTCTGTCTCCATCTCGGAGGGTCTCATGCCCCTTCCACCACTCCACAGGGGCCACCTTGCTCAGCTCACACCGCAGTGTGGCCGTTGCCCCTTCTGTGGCCTCTTCGTTCCTCAGACCCTCTGTGAACTTGATGGGTAGCGCTGGAGGAGGATCAGAATATATGAACACAATCTTGCTCTCTGAGCACATGGAAGATACAGAACATGGATGGCAAAGAGAAGACACAGAACCCATTTGGACACAGGCCACATGTGGGATGTGCTGAGCACAGGCTGTGGACTGGGGCTTCCCATGCTCCAGCCTGTCAGCACTGTAGCTGTGACTCCTTCCATGGCCTCCTGAGTCCTCACACTTTATGTAACTCCGGCTGCCAGAGGCAGAGTATGTCAGACACACACAAGGACCATGAGAGCCTCTGGAGCACTCTGGGGGGAAGGACAGGACAGCGTGAAGGGCAAGGTACAGAAGCCAACAGGACAACATGATGGAGCCCATCCTTGTAGGCACATGGGGTGGAAGCTGGCTGCAAGGCTGGTTTCTCCTGGTTCCCACAATAGCTCTGGAGGCTGGAGGAGACCCTGCAGAGTGATGGGAACAGGGTGGCGCAGATGCAGGGAGAGCACATGGTGTGAGTACAGACAGACGGCATGACATCAATACATGGACACCAGAATATGGCTCTCCTTGGCCACATGTGGCCTTTACCCCTGACAGTGAGCATGGCCGAGGTCCTCTCCTGCCCACACACACACGAGTACTCCCCAGTGTCTACCATGGACAGGCCACGAATCTGCAGTTCACATTTGGTCCCATCCTGCCTCAGGCTGTATCTGTCCCCATCTCTCAGGGTCTCAGACCCCTTCCTCCACTCCACAGGGGCTGCATTGTTCAGCTCACACTGCAGCATGACTGTGGTCCCTTCTCTGGCCTCCTGGTTTTTCACATCTTCTATGAACCTGGCAGGCAGAGCTGGGAAGGACCAAGCAGTCACTGAGATCATCAGACTGTCTGGAAGACTCTGTGGACGGGACATGGACACCCACAAGGAGCCACACAAACCACCAAAGGACCACACGTGAAGAAGCAAATAAACATTCACATGAGGAGGAAGCAAATGGCCTGGGAAGAACAGAGAACACAAAGGGATCAGCATGAGCATGAGGACACCCCCTGGACAAGAAGGGTAGGCGGGAGACAACCGGAGGACCTCACTTGGAGAAGAGACAACCCCAGGATTGCCACAGGGGCTGTGCCACATTGGAAGATGAGAATGACACGGTGACATGTAGATACCAAGCCACGGGTCCACAAGGCCACACATGATCTTTACCCCTGATGGTGAGCGTGGCTGAGGTCCTCTCCTGCCCACACACACACAAGTACTCCCCGGCATCCGCCATGGCCAGGCCACAGATTTGCAGCTCACACCTGGTCCCCTCCTGCCTCAGGATGTATCTGTCCCCATCTCTGAGGTTCTTGGGCCCCTTCCTCCACTCCACAGGGGCCACTTTGCTCAGTTCACACCACAACATGGCTGTGCCCCTTCCACAGCCTCTTCATTCCTCAGACCCTCTGTGAACTTGGCCAGCAGGGCTGGGGGATCAGAAAGAGATGGCCACAATCACACCCTCTGAGCCCACAGAAGAGACAGGACACGGATGACAGAAAAGACACAGAACCCAAATGGACATGAGCCACAGAGCCCACAGAAGAGACAGGACATGGACAACACAGAGAAGACAGGGAAGCCATCTGAACACGGGCCACTCCTGGGGTGTGCTGAGTACAAGGTGTGCACTGCAGCTTCCCACGGTCCAGCCCGTTAGCATCACGGTGTGGCCCCTTCTGAGGTGTCCTCAGGCCTCATACTTTCTATGAACCTGGCTGGTAGGGCTGGAGAGGACACAAAGACTATGAGGCCCTCTGGAGACACCTTGGGACACTCAGCAAGGACACACTCCAACTATGGAGGAAACTAGGAATTAAAGCATGGACACGTGGACATGAAACAGTGCCCTGGGAGCAGAGAACAGATTGGCCACGGACACGCAGGGGAAAGCCGCCCAGGACACAGAGGAGCTGGAATCCTAGCAGGGACCCCAAGATGATGGCAGACACATGCAGTGGCCACAAGACCCATGACATGCGGAGGAAGAGACAGAACCAAACAGGATCTCCCCATCCCCAAGGTCTTCTGCAGCCCATCCTGGCTCAGACTGAATCTGTCATCACGCTCAAGGGCCCAAGACCAGCCTGGTGGCTCAGTTACACTATACTGTGGCCCAGGCCCCATTCTGTGGCTCCCTATTTTATAGCTCCTTCATAATTTTTTTCTTTTTCAGACAGGGTCTCAGTGTTGCCTAGGCTGGAGTGCAGTGGTGCCATCACAGCTCACTGCAGCCTCAAACTTGTGGCCTCAACCAATCCTCCCACCTCAGCCTCCTGAGTAGCTGGGACCACAGGTGTGCACCACCACAACCAGCTAATTTTCATATTTTTTGTAGAAATAGGGTCTCCCTGGGTTGCCCAGGTTGGCCTGGAACTCTTGAGCTCAAATGATCCTCCTGCCTCGGCCTCCTAAAGTGCTGGGATTACAGGTGTGAGCCACCGTGCCCAGCCTCATGATCTTGATGAAGAGCTGGAGGAAAAAGACACAAAATCAGCTGCCTAAAAATCTCCCACAAAATCATCCAGGCTCCTGCTTCTCATCAGTTCCTGCTGCTCCTGTGGCCAGAGCCCAGGGCAGACAGGGAATAAGGAGCCTGCTGCTGGGAGAAAGGAGGGTGCCACCCTCCACCTTGACCGTCACCCTGTGTTCATGATGCAAGCAAGAACCCCACGCAACAGGTGCCTTGGTGCATGGGTCTAGCAGATAAGAAATGACCAAACGAATACATGAAGGAACGGTCCACCCGGACATGCCCTGCATGCAGGAGATAGCCATGGACCACAGGGACAGACGAGGGCCACTGTCTCCTGTGCACTGAAGCTGGGTGGCTTCCCAGCCCACCAGATGGAGACTGGAGCCTCAGAGTGCCCAGCTGCATCCCCTGGACGCCCCCAGGGAACTGCAGCTCAGAGCATCCTTGGGGCTTCGGGGTCCAGTGGAAACTTCCAGCATGCAAGGGTGCCCTCTAAGGAGGCACAAGAGGGGGTCCAGCAGGGCACCCACCACCTGAAGCTTCCCTGGAATTCGCCCACTTCTGGAAGCAACTGTCTCAGGCAGCCGGCAAGGGTCCACTCAGGTCATCTGCTCTTCAGCCACCTGTCTGAGGAGGCACTGGCACCCAGACAGCCATGCCTGGCCCCCAGAACCTGCCCCTTCACTGGCCTGAGGGATCCCTCCTTGCGGTGTGACGGGAGCCCACCAGAGTCCTGGGCAAGAAAGTCCTCGAGCTTGGGAGAGTCCTTCCCTGCATTCCCTCTAAGGTGCTCGGGCCCTCCACCCGGGCCGGCTTTATCCCATGTGCTTTCCCTGACAGAATCAAGCCAGGCCAAGGCCCCGAGCACCTGCACACGTCGCACCACACCACCAGCCACACCGGGCCATGGGTCCCAGCTCCACAGACACAAGAGGCCAGGCCTGCAGGGCTCTGTCCCTTCTGCTAACACTGGGGGCTTGAGGCTGGAATCCTCTCCTTGCTGTGACTGAGAGGTTCAGGGCCCAGGGTGAGTTCTGCAGCCTCATGTCCCTAGGGCACCCAGCCATGGCTGAGATCCACTCCCACCCCCCACACATGACGACACCCTAGATCCACTGCAGGCAGGCCACAGGGCTCCAGATGTCCTGTCCTGGTCAAAGCCCCCATCTTGGATCGTCTTGGGCCCCTTCCACCACTCCACACAGCTGCTCTGCTTGGCTGACACATGAAGAGTCACTGTGGCTGCTCCTCCCCACAGTCACCCCCATCACCTCTCCTCCCCACAGTCACCCCATCACCTCCTCCCCACAGTCACTCCCATCACCTCCTCCCCACAGTCACCCCATCACCTCCTCCCCACAGTCACCCTACCTCTCTCCACCTCACAATGGACCCTCCCCTCCCTGGCTGTGCACTCCAGCCCACGTGCCATCTCCCCACTCCTTTCTGTGTTCCATTTCTGGGGCTCCTCCTGATTGCCTTCCTGCCTTCCTGGTGTTAACCCTGGAGAAGATCTATGATCTCACTTTTGTAATGATTTGGTTCTCCCCATATCCTCTGTCTCTGCCTACAACCCCACAGGGCTCAAGCAGCCCTCTCTTCTCTGCTGTCTTACTGCTCCTAAGACGGGTAACACGCAGCAGGTGTGAGGAATCCCTACTGAAGGAATGATTCAGGAACCCCATGCAGAAACAGGGAAGGCCATAGCGCAGACATGGGCACAGGGCAGGAATGCGCATACCCACTCAGACACAGCCACCCATGCACGTGGCCAGAGGCAGTCATTACCCTTCACGGTGAGAATGGCAGAGGTCCTCTCCTCCCCACACACACAGGAGTACTCCCCAGCATCTGCTACGGCCAGGCCACAGATCTGCAGCTCACACACAGCCCCATCCTGCCTCAGTCTGTGTCTGTCCCCATCTCTGAGGCTCTCACGGCCCTTCCTCCACTCCACGGGGGCCATCTTGCTCAGCTCACACCGCAGTGTGGCTGTGGCTCCTTCTGTGCTCTCTTGGTGTCTCAGTCTTCCTATGAAGTGGGCAGGCATGGCTGGGGAGGGATGGACAGACAGACATGCAGTAGATCAGACTCTGGGAAGCACAGGGGGACAGGCAATGGCGAGATGGAGGATAAGACAGACTCCCACAGGACAGGTCCCAGGGTGCCTCGAGGGTGGGAGTCTGGCTGCAAATGCCGGGTTCTCCTGGTTCCTTCAATAGTCCAGAAAGCTGGAAGGGATTCCGTGATGTGCTGGGAAGGGCATGGCACAGTTGGGGGAGACTGGAATTGGTGCAACTGACAGCAGCGGTAAAGAATTGGACACCGGCCACGACTCTGGACACAGGGTCTTACCCCTGATAGTGAGTGAGGCTGAGGTCCTTTCCTCTCCACACACACACGAGTACTCCCCAGCATCCACCATGGCCAGGCCACGAATCTGCAGCTCACACATGGCCCCGTCCTGCCTCAGGCAGTATCTGTCCCCATCTCTGATGGTCTTGGACCCCTTTCTCCACTCCACGGGGGCCGCCTTGCTCAGCTCACACCGCAGCGTGGCTGTGGCCCCTTCTGTGGCCTCCTTGTTTCTCAGTTTCCCGATGAACTGGGCAGGCAGGGCTGCAGGAAGGTCAGACACAGAGAACATCGTCTTTGCTCCCCTGCATTGGAGGAAGTGGCATCTTTGGGCCACATGGGCAGGGTGAACAGAGATGCTTACCAGTCACCGTGAGGGTGGCAGAAGTAGTCTGGTCCCCGAAGGAGCATGAGTACCGCCCGCTGTCCTGCGGCCGGAGGTTGCGGACCACCAGCTCCAACACAGCACCTTCCTGGCGTAGGCTGTATTTGTCACCTGGCCTCAGGACATTGTCTCCACAGCACCATTGCACGGGCGCAGCCACAGATGACAGCACACAGCGCAGTGTGGCAGCACCACCCTCCCGCACCTCCAGGTCCTTCAGGGCCTCCTGGAACCGCACTGGCCGGGCTGCAGACAGGCACAGGCTCAGCTTGCCCTCCCCCGACTGGTCTACTAGGGGTCCCCTATAGGTGGTGGAGGGCTGGGGACATCAGCTGCAGGGTCCACCTTCTCCTTTGGGGCCTGTGGCAAGGACCTCGAGACTTTTGGAAAGGGGCAGCTCTGAGGGTGAGGGATAGAAAGGGTGAACCAAGCAGGAGGACAGAAGGGTGGGGTGTCAGGGACCTGTGCCCCCAAATTCACAGTTGGAGGCCCTAGCCCAGACCTCAAAGCGTGGTAGTGATGAGGGAAGTAAGGTCAAATGAGGTCACGGTGGGCCCTAACCCACTGTGGCTGGCGCCTCCTAAGATGGGAGGTCAGGGACACAGGCATGCACAGAGGGACAGCCCTTCAGGGACGCAGAGGAGACAGCTCTGCCGGGCGGCTCCTGCGGGTGGCAGAGGCCACAGCGGAAGCCAAGCAGGGTGGATGAGGTGCCAGGGAGAGCCAGGAAGGACACGGGGAGCTGTGGGCACCCCATACAGGATGCGCAGGAGCCTGGGTCCTCCCACCTTGGGCTCCTTGTGGGCGCACATGCCCTGCCCTGAAGACGGTGCTGCCTGAGAAGAGAGCTGTAGGCACCTGGCCTGTGGCTAGGTTTTGGGGCTGCTGGGGCTCACCGTGCACCCTGACAATGGAGCTGCTGCAGGCGCCCCCAGTCTCACACTTGTAGCGTCCGCTGTCCTGCAGGGTGGCCCCAGTGATGAGCAACTGGGCTCGGTGGCCCTCGTGGCTCAGCTGATACCGGACAGATCCCCGCAGGGTCTTCCCATCCTTGGTCCAGCACACAGGGCTGTCGCAGGCACTGGTCTCGCACACCAGGGTCAAGTCCTCACCCTCTGTGATGGTGGCATCTGTAAGCTCCCGGGAGAAGACACTTGGCTTACCTGGGGGACAGAGAGAGAAGCAGGAGCATGTGGGATCCTGTCGTGCTGCTGCTGGAGGGGCCAACAGGGACAAACCCTGGGTCTCACTGCGGACCAGGCAACACCCTGGCTCAGCACCCACCAGTCACCCTCACGCTGGGGCCACGCAACAGGCTGTGGAGGGAACAGGGAAGGCTTGTGCGGCTCCTGCCCCAGTGGGGATGCAGCCTAGCCAGCGCACACCAAGAACAGTTCTGCAAACCATGCAGAAGCATTCATTCTGAAAGCCCAATTCAGCCTTCCGAGCCCCCACCCCACAGTCAGCCAAGGGTGCTTTCTCTGTGTGCCCAGGGATACTAGGCACATGGCTGAGCTGCCATCTGCCTCTCCACCTGTCTGCAGCTCTGAGCAACATGTGCAACGTGGGCATGTGACCCACCAGTGACCCGCAGGGCGGCTGAGGCCCTCTGGTCACCCGCCTCGAGGTAGATGGTGCCCGAGTCCTTGAGCGCCAGCTGCCGCAGGGTCAGCACGTGGTAGCCCCCAGGCTGGGCCTCAATCTCATTGAGCTCGTTGGCATGCAGGGGTGTCTTATCCAGGAACCAGTGCACAGGCTCGTAGTTGGCCGGGGAGATCCGGCAACGGAAGGTGGCCGAGGAGCCCTCCTGCACATCCACGTCCTCCAGGTCCTCGATGATGTGCACTCTCCGGCCTGCAAAGGCACAGTGTCCTGGGCAGGCTCAGCCAGCAGTGCTCCCCAGGACAGACACTCCCCAGGACAGAGCAAGGTGTCTGTGTTTTAACAAGTTTGCAGGGACAGAACTCCGAAAACAGTAAGTGGGTCAGAGTTTGAACGGTCTAGATACTTGTTTGAGGGCCACTCGGAGCCCCGAGTCCACCTCTCTGCACCTTGGAGGTCCTTCTGCAAGGTTTGCTGGGCGAGTCTGCAGCCTGCTGAGAACCCAGGAGAGCACACTTCTGCCCCCTATCCAAGCTGTGCTCCCAGGAGCGGTTGGCTCCCAAACCTGCATACACAGCTGTGTGTATCATTACAATTGTGCCATGAAATTAACTCTTGTAGTAACAGATGAAAGAGGAGTGTGAAAAAAAATGGCTATAGTTATGCTGAAATTGAAATCAAATGCTTGGAAGATAAGAAATGTGAATTCCTAGAAACGAGGTTTTTTGGCTGCTGAATTAGGGATGGTAAAAGATGAGCGTTTACGAATACGGAGACAGGTCCTGCATTCAGATTCCTTCTGCATGCATGAGTGTCCTGCAGGCATAGCTCCACCTCAAAGAAGGCAACCCCAACCCGGGCAATCCACATGGATGAAGAGCTCTCATCAGTGGATGGCACACAAGGAAATGGCCTGGGCCCCTGACCAGGCCAGCCAACATCCTCATACGTTAAACTTTTATTTTATTTTATTTTTTTAGAGGTGGAGTCTCACTCTGTCTCCCAGGCTGGAGTGCAGTGGCACGATCTTGGCTCACTGCAACCTCCGCCTCCCGGGTTCAAGCAACGCTCCTGCCTCAGCCTTCTGAGTAGCTGAGATTACAGGCACGTGCTACCATGCCTGGCTAATTTTTGTATTTTTAGTACAGATGGGGTTTCACCATGTTGGCCAGGCTGGTCTAGAACTCCTGACCTCCTGATCTACCTGCCTCAGCCTCCCAAAGTGCTGGGATTACAGGCGTGAGCCACTGAGCCCGGCCATGTTAAACTTTTAAAGAGCATCTTTTGTTATCTTATGACTCTCACTCTTGATGGCTTTTAAAAAAAATTAACTACGGGTACCAACTTTATTAGATCATGGGGCTTTACTGTGTTAACAGAATGCTTTCACCAGGATCACCAAATCCATTGGAGAGGAAAAATCAGTGATGATTCCTGCTTTACATTACTTCTCATGATCACAACTGGGGCCTTTCAAATACTGAACCCTGTGAACGCCCTGTGGTCAGACCCCAGTAGGGACCCCCTGCAAACTCAGCTCTGGACACACCAGCCTGGGACTTCAGAGCCAAGTGAAGGCTGTGGTGAAGGGGCTGGGCCTCGCCTGCTCTGATCCCAATGTGCCTGATGACCTTGCCCTGGCCATGGACCCACTAAAGCTTCAGTTTTCTTATCTACAGAGTGGGGAGAATGACAGCTGTCACTTTGCCTGCCACTCAAATGTGGAGCCAAACAGTAAGATCAAACAGCCACCTGCTATGATCTGAATGTCCCCCTGGAAACTCATGTTGAAACTTAATCCCAATGTGGTAATATTAAGAGGTGGAGCCTTTAAGAGGGGATTGGGTCCAAGGTGGGAATGGATTAATCCATTCACGGATCAGTGGGTTAACAGGTTAATGTGTTAAAGTGCTTTAATGTGAGTGGTGGCTTTAAAAGAAGATGAAGAGAGGCCTGAGTTAGCACACTCAGCCCCCTCCCCATGAGATGCCCTGTGCCACCCCCTGGGGACTCGGCAGAGAGTCCCTGCCAGCAAGAGGGCCCTCGCCAGATGTGGCCCCTTGACCTTGAGCCTCCAGAGCTATAAGAAGTAACTTTATTTCATTTATAAATTACCCAGTTTCAGGTATTCTGTTGTAAACAAGAAAAAGACTAAAATGCCACTGTAACTCTCAATGACAACCCTAATGACTATCAGTTCTTCCCTGGGAGCACCTGAGGCTGCCTGGCACAGCTGAGTCAGGCTGTCCCTCTGGGATAAGGGTGACACGTTGTATGTACAGATACACACTGAGCTCACGCATGGGGGCCAGGCACACAGGGCATGTGGGAGAAATACACAGTGACCAAATCAACACACAAGTAAGTGAGCACCAGCAGCTCATTCACAGCCATGCTGGGAAGCCTCAGTGACCACCCAGCATGGTGCATCCCTCTACCCTTATGATAAGAAACTGAGACTGGGCCTCTCCACCTCCAAGTCTCCAGTGCCGTTCAAAGCCTAGACCCGAGCACACTTGGGCACCTCACCTTGCACGAGGAGCTGGGCCTGGGACTGGGCCTGGCCGATGTCGCAGGTATAGATGTCGCTGTCTGCCTTCTCCAGGGCACTGATGGTGAGCTGCAGGGCCAGGCCGTCCTGGCTGGGCTGGTGCTTCCTTGAGGCCCGTAGCTCCAAGAGGCCCTTGCGCCAGGTCACTGTGGCCGCGGGGCGCTCCGTCTTGCACGTGAATACAGCTGTGCCTTTCTCCTCCACCTGCAGGTTGGTCAGCTCCTCTGTGAAGCAGTTTGCTTTTTCTGGGGCAGGGAGACGGAGGCAGAATAGGTGGGGCATTAGGCCTGCACAGACCCCAGGCCAGCCCTGTTATCTTCCAGGCCTGGCTCGGGAAGCTCTGAGACCTGGGTGAGCCCTTTCACCTGGGACAGAGGAGCTCAGGCTCCAGGGGTGGCCCTGTGCCCCGCTAGGGTAGAGACGCCACTCCAGGGCCACACGTGGGGCTCCTGCAGCATTTACCTTCCACACAGAGGCTGGCTGTGCTCTTGGAAGCCTCCACCTCACACGTGTACTCGCCCACGTCCTTGAGCGAGGCCCCGCGGATGACCAACACAGCCATCGTGCCCTCACAGACCACATCGTACTTCTGGCTCTTGCGGATGGCCTTCCCATCCTTCAGCCAGCGCACAGGCGTGCCCGCCCGTGACAGCTCACAGCGCAGCTCCACGTCCTCCCCTGCTGCCACCTGCTGGTCTTCCAGGGGCTTCATGATGGCTGCCGGCCTCTCTGAGGAGAGCAGAGACAGCTGCCCTTGAAGCACAGCCAGGGCCACGGAGCCAGCCACAGATGACTGCAGTCACGGCCCCAGCCACCATCCTGGCTACAGCCATAGCTCTATGCACAGACCCAGCCAAAACCCTACCACCTTCACCATGACCAGGATTGGGGCAAGGACAAGTGTTTGAGAACACTGATTCTCTGGTGACCAAGACAACAGAACCTGCAACCCCCAAACTCTGGGACCTCGGCCCTCAGGAGCTTCAGAGTCCTGGAATGTTAGTGTCCCCACTGTCACCAGGGTGGGACTCAGGAGGCAGGAAGATCAACAACTACAGAATTTTATCCTCTGGCATCTTTCAGGCCCACGCTGGCATCCTTTGAGCGTGCCCCGCCAAACTGCACCAAGTGTGCTCATTAGGGGCGCGAACTTGGGCGCTGGCGGTGATGTCAGCAGAGCAGGTGGCTGGGCCCTCAGGCCAGTGCTGCCAGACTGGTCCTGTGAGCCACAGCTCTGGGAGCTACCAAGTGCTCAGGGCACTCAGAACACAGATTGGAAAAGAACCCAGGCCTGTATCAGAGCTCAGAGAAGAATGCAACCCCACTTCCACATGAGAACTGCCCCCAGCATCCAGCAGGTGCCTCAGGCCCTGTGGCTCCTAGAAGGGGTGCTCTGCAGCAGCTGGGGGAAACAGGCCCCAAAAGCACCCCCACCAGCTTCTGCAGCCAGTGGGGCCCAGCTCCTGGACTCCTGGGGACAGGCCCAGGGTCCCCACTCCTCAGCCCAGGTGATAAGCCCCCGTCCGGCAGGCCCTGCCCACCTTTGACAATGAGTGAGGCCTTGGAGGTGAGGCTCCGCACAGAGAAGACCACCTCCCCAGCATCACTCGGCGCAGCCTCCCGGACCACTAGGATGTATTTTCGGCCCTGACGTGTGGCCTGGAAGCGGCTGGAGCTGCCCACCGTCTTCCCACCGACTGTCCACATGGCTGGGTAGCTGGCACTCTCATGGGACAGGACGCACTCAAAGCTGCAGCTCTCCCCCTCCAGCACCTCCACGGTCTTCAGCCTCTTGGTGATGCCCACGTGCAGATCTGCGGGCCATCGGAGACTGTCAGGCCAGGCAAGAGGACAGGACTGCCCTGGGCCAGACATAGGAAGGGCCAGACCCTGGGAGGGATCAGAGCCCAAGGGATCAGACCCTGGGAGGGATCAGAGCCCACAGGGACCAGACCCCAGGAGGAGCTGGATCCCTTAGAGGGACCAGACCCCACAGGGACCAAACCCTGGGAGGTGTCAGACCCTGGGAGAGGCCAGGCCCTGTGGAGGCAGGGTGCCACGTTGCACCAGCCAATGAGTAGACACCCCTCTGCTGGAGCTGGCTGTCCCCTGGCATTTGCATAACCAACAACTCTGAGCTCCAATCAGGGTAGCAGGGAGAGGGAGGACCCATGGTCATCACAGGGAGGACAGGAGGCACAGGACCCCATAGTCCCAGCTCCAGGACAAACTCGCGACGCCTCCTGCCCCTTCCCCATCTCGTTACAAGACTGTCAAGGACCAGCAAACAGGCTGGTTACGCCGCCTGTCACCCACACCAGGATGCCACTGGGACTGTGCATACACACACAGGGGGCCAGGTAGCCACCCTGCAGTTGAGGGAACTGCCTCTGAAAAATAGGACAGACTCCAGGGCATGCACACCCCCAGTGCTGCAGGGCTGGATTCAAGGATGGCTCTACCCTGTCAGCCCAGTGGCCCTGGGGCCTTGCTGGGGCCCCATGAAGGACAGAGACATGGCCTACTCACAGCCCCTGCCTGGCATCTCGGCTTCTCCCTGGCCATCCCCATTGGTGTCCCACACCGGCCTGGTGGCTTCTGTGCAGACACATCCCTTGGTACAGGGCAACATCCCCGGGCTACGTCGGGAAGACCAGGCAGGGACAGCACAGCCTCCAACCCTGGCTCCGGGACCCATCGTCCCCAGGTCCACCTGCCTGCACCCAGGCCTCACAGGACCATGTCAAGTCATGGCTCCTCTAGAAGGCTCCCCTGACCTCCCCGGCTCAGCAGAGCAGCCCTTCAATCTCAGAGAATGACGTGGGCCACCCAGGTAGTGGCCAGTCCCACATCCATGCCCATCCAGCACACCTCCCTTCCCCGAGCTCCGCCATGCCCACAGCCACACACCGTGCACGCTGACCCGGGCCTGGGTCTCCTCGGAGCCCACGTGGCAGGTGTACAGGCCGGCGTCCTCGGGGCTCAGGTCATGCACCACGAGCCCCCGCGTGCCCACCGTGTGCAGGAAGTCATACTTGTCGCTGGGGCCCAGCTGCACGCCATCTTTGCGCCACACCACATGGGCCTCGGGGTCAGAGACCTCACACTGCAGGGCCAGGGTGCCATGCTCCTCTGCGGACAGGTCATCCAGCCCCTTCAAGAACACCACCGGCTTCACTGCAGGAGGGGTAGGAGGGTGAGGGGAGCCCAGCACCTGTCCCATCCCTAGTGGGGAGCCCCGAAGACTGGTGGGATGGCTCACCTCGGACCTCCAGGTGGGCAGAGGTTGACACCTTGGGGGAGGAGGCGCATACTGTGCCTGCATCAGCACGCCGGACGCTCTTCAGTACCAGCGTGTGGCACCGGCCCCTGTGCGAGATCTCATGGAAGCTGTCGTTGTACAGGGGCATCCCGTTGAGCGACCACTCGACCTCCTCGTCCTCATGGGACAGCTCACAGGAGAAGCTGGCCCGGCCCTCCTCCATGGCCTCTGCATCCTGCAGCGGCCCTGTCACTGTCACCTCCCGCGCTGCAAGGGACACACCGGGCCTCAGTGCCCACATCACCAGGCAACCCCTCCCCAAAACCCTCTCAGTAGCCCCGTGTCCCTCATGCCCCACCTTCCACAGTGACCTCAGTACTGCTGTGGGCGCTGCCCGCCTGGCACCGGTAGACACCAGCATCGGCAGGCATGAGCCGGAGGATACGCAGCTCGGCCATCTGACCCTCCAGGCTCATCTTAAACTTCTCAGAGGCAGACAGGGGTGTGTCATCCTTGTACCACTGCACAGCCTTGGGGGCTGGCCGGAAGTCGCAGGACAGGACCACTGACTGCAGCTCACGCCCTGTCTTGGGCTCCAACGGCCGTGTGAGGACTACGGGGATGTCTGCAGGGAGTGGAGACAGGCTGGGCCACGGGGCCACAGGAACCAATCACCCTGTCCTGCCTGCCAAGCCCTGAGCCTGCTCACCTATGGCCCTGAACTATGTCCTCCCCTGGCCCTGAGCCGTGTCCACTGTTCCTTGAACTGTGCCTTCCCCTGGCCCTGAGCTGTATCCTCTGTGGTCCTGAACTGTGTCCTCCCCTGGCCATGAGTGATACCCATCTGTGGCCCTGAACTGTGTCCCATCACTGCACTGAGCCTTCTCCTCCCACGACCCTGCCCGGTACCCACCCACAGCCTTGTCCTTTTATGCCTCTGCCTCGCGTCCACCCACCGGGGCGGGAGTGCTCACCTGAGACCACCAGGCGGGCAGAGGAGCGAGACTTGCCGATGGTGAAGTGCACGGGCCCGGTCATAGTGGAGCAGGTCCGCCGCAGCATCAGCCGGTGCACCGTGCCCTCCTGCTCCAGGCCCACGTTCCCCCCAGCCTGCAACACTGTCTTCCCCAGGAGCCACTTAGGTGGCCGCACTGAGGGGATGGAGGTCTCACACTCAAACCAGGCAGGAGCAGGCTCCATCACCGTCACGTCCTGCAGACCCCGCACAATGGTGATGGATTGCTCTGTTGGGGAGGAGCAGTTGCTGGCGGATCCCATGGATAGGACAAGTTGCCCCTCTGGCAGGGTTCCTTCCTGGGAACAAGCCCCTGCCCCACTAGATGCATGTTAGCATCCTCCTGAGCTACCCAGACCCAGCATCTCCAGGAGTGTAGGGCAAACCATGGACCTAGGAGACTCCCCCCAACAAAAGCAACCTGCAGAGCTGCCCTCCCTGCCTGCACCTTCCACAAAGAACTGTGCACTAGTCTTGACATCGCCGGCGTCGCAGGTGTAGGTGTCCTCGTCCTCTGCCTGGACGTCACTGATGATCAGCTTGCGGTAGAGGCCATCACTGACCAGCTCGTACTTGGGCCCGGGCCGCAGCTCCTGACTGCCCTTGAACCACCGCACCTGGGCGCTGGCCCGGGACACCTGACACTCCAATACACCGCGGTGCTTCTCCATGGCAATCTTGTCCCGCAGAGGGCGCACGAGGGTCACTGGCAGCTCTGTGAGCATAGTTGGGGCACGGGGTGGATCAGAGACGGTGCTCCAGGCTCCCAGGCCCAGGCTCCGACAAGGCACTGGGTGTTTTGGGCAACCAAGGGCCCGGACCCCACTAGGCCCCAACAGCCCATGTCTGCCCGCCAGGGGACAGCAGGTGTTTAGGCTGAGTATTCCCCTTGGAGCTGTGCTACAACCTGCTCCACAGAGCAGACCACCAGCAAGGGGAGTGTGCCCGCCTCTGCCTACCCTGCCCTCCCATATCCCACACTCCCACTTCCACCACCCAGGTCCTGCCCGCTGTCCTGGCCCACCAAGAGCAGGGTAGGCTCTGCCCCATGTAGCCCCACCCCCTGCAGTCCTCTCCCCAAGCCCCCACTTCGGAACCATAACCACATACCCTAGCCCAGTCCCAGGAACTCATGTCCCCTCCCCGCACACCTCTGACTTAGCCCTACTGGCCCGTCCCCACTCCACCTGTCTGCAGAGCCTCCCTCCCTGCTGCCCCAGCACCACTCTCCCTGATCCCCTGATCCTCCTCCTCACTGCCACCAGGTAGAACTCCCCGCCCCCGACAACCCTCCCCCTACCCCCGCCCCACAGGGCCTCATGCCTGGCCTCTGCAGCACATGCTGCAGCCAGAGGGAGGATTCATCAGGATCTCGGTTTTAAGGAAGGGAGAAGCCCCTCATGGCCGCTTCTCTGGCCTCTATCTTCCTGCCAAGGAGGTGACAACCCCTTCCCTTCTCGTGAGTCCCTGCTGTCCTGGTCCTGAGAACGGGCTTGGGGTGTCCGGGCCTGTGCTGAGCCAGCTGGCCACACATGCACACTGTCCAGCCTCGCCCTCCCCTCAGCCCCCACCTCACCCTTCACTCGGAGCTGGGCTCGAGATTCTGCATTTTCAGCTACAAATTTGATCTCTCCTGCATCTTCCGCCAGGACCCTCCGGTAGATGAGAGTGTATGTCCTTCCTGGGGGAAAAGGCGGCTCAGTATGGGCGGGGACAGAGGAGGACCTGGGGGTTGGGCCGTGCCCACCATAGCCACTGGTCCTCGCACCTTCCTGGCGGATGCGCACGTTGTCACTGGGCCGCAGTTTGCTGCCCTCCCGGAACCACTGGCCAGGCACTTCGTCGTGGGAGACCTCACAGGAGAAGGTGGCACCGTCCTTCTCCATCACTTCCACATCCTCCAGGGACCTCACGATCTGGATGTTGCGGCCTGGGGTGGCAAAGGAGGCCCTGCCACACCTGGACGCACAGAGCCACCCCCAGCACCCCCCACCCAGTGCCCCAGCGTGCCAAGGGGTGTGAAGGTGAAAGCAGAGTGGCCAAGCCCCTAGCTGGGGGACATGGAAGACAGGAGGAGGTGCCCACACCTGCCATGCCCCACGTGCCCCACACAGCCCTCACCTTGCACCTTCACAGAGGCAGAGCTCTGGGCGTCATGGGCATCACACACATACATGCCCTGATCCGCGAACTCGCACCGGTAAATGGTGAGGCTCCTGCAGGTGCCCTGGGCCGCAATGCCCACTGTCTTGCCTGCCCGCAGCTCCACACCGTCCTGTGGAGCGCAGAAGCCCGGTCAGGCATACAGGTGGTTCAGCCCTGGGGTTCCACTTGGGCCTGCCCCCATGAGAGGAGGGAAGGAGGCAACAGAGTGGGGTCAGGGGGAGGCACCTTTAGCCAGCGCACATCCACATTAGGACGAGACAGCTCACACTCCAGGGTAACCTTCTCCTTCTCGGTGGTCACCACATCCTGCAGCGGGCGGCTGAAGTTCACAGGCAGCTCTGGGGAGGAGGAAGTAGGAGGTGGGAGGAGAAAAAGGGCTTGGAGGAGCCTTCAGGGTGGGGACAGGACGAGGGTGGGGCAGTGCCCAAGCTGGACAGAGTTATATGGAGCTGGCTCATCCAGGTCCCTAAAGTCCCCACCGACCTCCCCGGGATTCCCTCGGGACAGGTAGGCATGACCTGTGCTGAGCCCTGCCGGTCCCCCCAACGCACCGGTGACCACGAGCAGTGCCGACGTGTGCACTCCTTCGGCCTTGAAAACCATAAGGCCACTGTCCTCTGGCCTCAGCCCAGAGAGCGTGAGGGTGTGTGTGGGGCCCCGCACAGCCAGGTGGCACGTGGGCCCCTGCTGGAGCCGGAGACCGTCTCGAGTCCAGCTGCCCTCCACGTCCGCATGCGACAGCTGCACCTCCATGGTAGCCGTGCCCTGCTCCTGTGCCTCCACTGCCTGCAGGCCCCTGATGAGCCGTACCTGGCGCACTGCGGTGCACACGCGGGGTCACGGGTCAGCCGCTGCTCTGAGACCACCACCTTAGAACCCTGGGGTACAGCCAGCTTCCCCAGGAGCTCAGGGAGGGCTGGGGAAGCCTCCCAACGCCCACCCCCAGCGCTAGCCCCTCCGGCGGGAGACCTGCCCCTCCCCCAGCCCTATGTCCCATCCAGGGGACTCGCCCCTCCCCTCAGTGTCCCGCCTGGCTCCTCCCTCCTCCCCTCGGTGCTCCGCATCCCTCCTCCCTCTCCCCTCAGTGCCCCACCTCCTTCCTCTCTCTTCCTCTCAGTGCCCCTCCTCCCTCCTTCCCTTAGTACCCTGCCTACGTCCTCACTCCTCCTCAATTCTCCGTCTCCCTCCTCCCTCCTCCTCAGTGCGCTGCCTCCCTCCTCACTCCTCCTCAGTGCCCGGCCCTTCCCGCCCGCGACTCACTCTCCACGGTGAGTTTGGCCTGTGTCTTGTCATCCGGAGTCTCGCAGCCAAAGAAGCCACGGTCGGCAAAACCTACGTTGTGCAGAACCAGACGGTGGCGGGCGCCCTCGGCGTGGATCTCCACGTTCTTTCCCGGCACCAGGGCCACCGCGTTCCGTGTCCACCTCAGCTCCGGCCATGGCCGTGTCAGCTCCACCTCCATGGTCACCGAGCTCCGCTCCTCCACCGTCTGCGGCTCCAGCTTCTTTTTGAACAGCACGGGCGCCTCTGGGGTCGCAGGAGAGGGGAGGTCATGGCAGTCCTTGCCCTCCTCCACGGGCAAGCCAAGGTACAGAGGGCCCGCCCAGCACCGGCGCCTGCCCTGAGCCGCACCCAGGCAGAGCTGCCCGCAGGGCGCCCGGTGATCCCAATCCAAACGGCGGCGCGGCCCTGGCCACACGTGGGCGAGGAAACACTTTAAGCGAGGAAACCGGGAAGCTTCCTTAAGCCCCGCTTCTACCTCCAGCTCCCCTGTTCTGAACAAGACGCCAGGCCCTCGTGCCTCAAAATCCTAGGCGTAATGCCCACTAGTAGCACTGGCGGGAACTGCAGAGGCGGGAAGACAGAGCTCCCCCAGGCGCAACGGGGGTTTAGCAAAGCCCAGGAGTCCTGCACAGGTTGAGGAAGAGGCACTGGCGGGCCTCTGCCTTAGGCCACCCGTGAACTCCGCAGAAGGTGAATCTACTGCATCACTCCCTTACTCCAGAACCTGCCATGACTCCCACTTCCCTTCAGGGAAAGTTCTGGCTTCTGGCTTCAGCAGCATGGGAAGCCCATGTCACTGCCTGCACTGGTGCTAACCCCACTCTCTCTTTCCTGCCATCCATCAGGCTAAGTATGCACCCACCTACTCCAGAAAGCCTCCCTGGATTGCCTCAACCTCCACCCATTCCCCACCAGGTGCACCTGCAGGATTGCATCTTCTCTATACCAAGAGAAGGCACCTGATCCATCCAGCCTACCCGAATCTCCTCTCTGCAGTCCACACACCCTGTGTCTCCTGAGATCAGCCAGATCAGCCATAACAGGACAGCAGTTCCAGGTGCCCACTCAGAACCAGCCCACAGGGGAGGTGCCTGTACAAGGAGCCCCGGCCAGCCAGGCAAGTCCTGCTGCCCCCCACACTCACCTCGGACCCTCAGGACAGCAGAGGATGAGACGCCCTCAGCCTCCACAGTGATCTGGCCCGCGTCCTCCAGCACCAGGCCGGAGATAGTCAGGCTGTGACTGGTGCCACTCTGTGATATGGCAAACTTCTCGCTGGGCTGCAGCAGGGCACCGTCCCGGAACCACACGACTGCCGCATCACTGGGGGACACCACACACTGGAAGGTGGCCTCGCAGCCCTCCTCCGCGACCACGGTGCTCAGCCCAGACATAAACTTCACCACTCGGGGTACTGCAGACAGGAGCACTGCTTAAGAGGCGGGCACGCGGGACCGGCAGAGCCCCCACACTGCAGGAGTGCCAAAGGCCACCTCCTCCAGGAAGCTGCCCTGGATAGGGACACCCGACCCCTTACATACCACTAACAGTGAGCTGCGCACTGGTGTGGTCATCACGGCTCTCGCATACGTACTCCCCCGCGTCCTCCGCACGCAGCTCCAACACAGTGAGCAAGCGCACAGGCCCCTCGGCCACCATCTGGAAGCGCTTGCCCGCCTGAAGCTGCGTGCTGCCACAGCGCCACACCACCTCTGCACACGCTGAGCTCAGCTCACAGGCCAGTGTTACCGTGCCGCCCAGCTCACCGCACACAGGCTTCAGCGGCCGGCAGAACTTGGCGGCCACCTCTGTGGGCACGAAGGGGACATCAGCCAGGTTCCTAACAGACCAGACTTGAGCCCCAGCTTTGCCCCTGCCCAGCTCTGGGAGAGAGGGGTCTGGAGGAGTCCCCGCCTCGTGCCCAGCTCACCTTCCACCTGCACTGGGAAGTCCTGCCCCTCTGCGCCCACACGGCAGCTGTAGACGGCACTGTCCAGCACCTGAGCGCCATGCACGGTCAGGGTGTGGGTGTCCCCCTGGCTGGCTGTCTCGTGCCGCTTGCTGCGGCGAATCTCCACACCATCCTTAAGCCAGGTCACTGTGGCCACAGAGGGTGTGGCCAGCGTGGCAGTCAGGACGATGTCTTCATGCTCCTTGACCACCAGAGGCTCACTGCGGCAGGGTCTCTCTGAAATTTGGGGCTCCGGCCCTGGGTAGAGGTGAGTTGGCATGAGAGGGGGACCCCGGCATCCCTGGACCGGCCCCGCTCCCCTTCAGGGCCACCTTAATGCCACCTGGCACCCCTGATACCCATTGCTCTTCAAGGATGGCCCAGTGCCGTCCTGAGCACCATCAACCACCATCCAGAATCCCAGGAGCCATACAGTGTGGCCATCAGCTCCAGGTGAAGCGGATTTGCCACCCCAAAGCACTGACCTGCCACGTGCAGGTGGAAGGAGAGCCACTGGCCCCCCGCCTCACAGCTGTACTCCCCAGCATCTGCCTGGCCCGCCTGCTGCACCACTAGCCTCCGTGTGCAGCCCTCGGCCTCCACGTGCACTTTCGAGCTGGAGCTCAGCTTCTTCCCATCCTTGTACCACGTCACCTCCATCTGGCCCTGGGCCACCACACAGCTCAGTGTGGCACTGGCCCCCGCCTCCGTGTGCACCACCCTGCATGCCGGCTGCTCCTTGGCAAACACCACCTTGGGCTCTGGGGATGGACAAGGAGGGATGTAGGGTTAGAGGCTCCAGAGCAGACGCAGCCCATGTGTTAGCCCAGCGACAGCCAGGCGGGGCTGTCCATCATTGAGCAGCGCACTGTGACGCACAGAGCTCCCCCCGGCACTACCAGAGCCGAAGGTCTAAGAGTGCATGTTGGCAGCATCACCATCATGTCTCTTGGGAACAGGATGCGGTCCCTTCCCTGCCCTGGTCTTCCAGGGCCCTGGGGCCCTCACCCGTTGCCAGCTCTCCCCACCACATGGGGCCACAGGCAGCAGGACATGAAGGGTCAGGAAGGATGGACCAGCAACCTGGGCTGGCCCAGAGGCAGCAGAGTGTCGGGCAGGGCCACTGGAAAGAGGATGCCAAGCTAAGTGTGGTTTGTTGTCCCTGGCTCAGAGACAGGGTGGAAGGGGTCGGATGTCAGAAAGACAGGTGGACACATGGTGATGACCAAGGGGCCCAGCACAGGCTTGCAGAGATCTAGGGCCCAGAGCACAGAGACAAGCCCCCCCACCACCCAGGACACGCTCTCCAGTCACTGCAGGGCCCTCCCATAGCCCAGCACCCACAGAGGAGTCAGCAGATCACATTAGACCAACCCAGACCCCAGACCGCCACCCCAAGGACATCACACCACTGTCCCCACCACCCAGACAGAGGTCATCACATCTGACTACACCTGGACCCCAGACCCCCAAGGACATCACACTATTGTCCCTACCACCCAGACAGGGGTCCTCACATGAGACCAGACCCCAGACCCCCACCCCAAGGACATCATGCTACTGTCCCTACCACCCCCAGCTCAGCCACTGCAGGGCACACACCATGGTCAACTCAGTCCATGGGCCTGCTCTGGTCTCATGACATAAGAACACTGGCCTGAGAGCCGCTGGGGAGAGCTGGGGACACAGATTCTAAGGCCTACAGAGAGGGAAGGTGCCAGGGCCCACGGCACCTTGGGCCACCCAAACGTGCCCTTGTAGTTTCACACCCGACACTCAGGATCACCTCTATTTCACCTAACCCTGGCACCCACCAGCCACATGTAGGTGGAAGGAGAGCCGCTGGCCCCCAGCCTCGCAGCTGTACTCCCCGGCATCCGCCTGGCCTGCCTCCTGCACCACCAGCCTCCGTGTGCAGCCCACGGCCTCCACGCGCACTTTTGAGCTAGAGCTCAGCTTCTTCCTGTCCTTGTACCACATCACCTCCGTCTGGGCTTGGGCCACCTCGCAGCTCAGCATGGTGCTGGTCCCCGCCTCAGCCTGCACCTCCCTGTGTGCCGGCTGCTCCTTGGCAAACACCACCTTGGGCTCTGGGGATGGACAAGGAAGGACACATGAAGTCAAAGATACAGCCTAGGTCAGGAAGACCACCCTAGGGTAGGAGGGCCCGGATGAGGAAGTAGGAGAAACAGAACCTTCCCCAGGCTCTGCACTGGCTGTGTGACCGGGAGAAGCCCTGCCACCTCCCCACACAAGAATCACAGTTTGTCTATCCACTGTGCACGGCGCCATAAGCTATCACAGGTGGGGCAGCTATGACAAACCCTCCATGCATGAGCACCTCCAGGGCAGGGACTGGGGTGCCTGCACACGTGGCTCTTCTTCAAGCATGTATGGAGCTTTAAATCCACTTGTCATTTTTGAACCTCGCATCCACCAAAACCACATTTGTTTGGATTTTGACTGAGACTGAATAACTTTCATTCTTCCATACTTTTATCCACTTTAGATCTTTACTGTCTCTCAAGTGTTACACAGCTTCCCCCCTGCAGAGCCTCTGGACATCTTTTATTAGACTGGAATCATAAACATGATGCCTTTGAGGCATCTGTCAATCTTTCACGTTTTCGTTTTCCAACTGCTTGCTGCTAGTCTGCATGTATGGAAGTTTCTTCACATAGATCTTGCAAGGGTTGATCTTTCTCAACTCTCTAATAACTTATCTTCTGGGTAAACCATATCTTCTGTCAGTTCACCTTTTTCCAACTTTTACTCCTTTTGTTTTACTTTCCTCCTAACTGTGTGTCCAATGTTGGATGGAAGTGCTGACCACTGGCTTCCTCATGCTGTCCCTGGCTCAGAAGCAAAGCTTACAAAGTCTCCCTTTGTGATTTTTATGTAATACCCTGGGTCAAATTAAGAAAAAAAACCTTTTATTTATACTTTGTTAAGAATTTAATGGCACGATGGATGCTAAATTTTGCCAGACATTTCTTCTGAATGTATGAGGTTAAATTTTTATCAAATATGGTAGTTTATTCTGAGTTTAAGATAATTACATTGTTTTAAAATTTCAATCACATAATATCATGATTTTCTAATGTTTTAACATGAAAGCAGCCCTCATTCCTAGACTATGAATTTCATCATAGTGTATGATCATCTTGATGTATTGCTGAATTCAGTTTACTAATACTTTGTTTAAAAAATTGGCCATGATATTCATAATTGTTTGATCTACAATATGCAAACTTCCTATTTTCTGGTAGTCACGGCATTAAGCTATCTGCATATAATGAGTTAGAGGGTATATCTTCCTTTTTCCATTCTCCAGAAGAATTTCCATGAACATGGAAGAATTTCTGGCCAGAATGTTTGGAAGAATTTCTCAATAGGGCCACATGGTTTAGATATTGTTTGATGGGAAGATTTTTTGCTACCGGTTCTAGTTTTTACTAGGTTGTAGTAACTGCAGATAACTTCGGTAACAGTAGATAACTGCATATAGGTTATCTATTTCTTAAGTCTGTTTTTGGTTTCTAGAAATTATATAATTTAACACTTTTCTAATTTACTTGCAGTGAGTATTTTTGGTATCTACACATCTGTAAGCCATTTTAGACATACATAACACCAACTGTTATGTGGCAGCACTCAGGGCTCAGGGTTGGAGTTTGAAGTTAAACTCTCCTAACAAACAACAGGAAAGTAAAGATCATTCTCAGACTTCCTATGAATCAGCCAGAGAGGACAGGCACAGGACTTGTCAAGGAAACAGGATGATGTAAATATGGCTTCCCCAGTCAGCAGCTGCTACCACCGTAACTTAATTCTACCGGTGTGTGACTGTGCCATAAGCTACTTATTCCTATCACTTTTAAATCTATCCAAAGGGGAATTCGGACACAGAACATTTTAACAGAATGCAAAAGGAAATTGAGATTGGCTTCCAAAACGGAACTCCAGTGTCATGTGTGCACCTGCCAATACGCTGCTCTTTACTCGTTTTGCACACACTAACGCTGTGGCTCTGGGTTTTAATGAAGACTCAGACAGGGCTTCTACATCCACGGGGAAGGACAGAAGTGCGTCCCAGAACACTAAAAACTTTGGGAACCCAGTGTTCAGTGTTGATATAATTCCAAATAAGACTGTGTGACTGGAATTTCCCTACACCCTAGCTGAACGAATTCAAATCTCTTTGCACAGGGAGAGCCCTCACGTGGGGCCAGATGAGGCTGTGCAGGGACTGCAGGAGCATCCCCGAGGGAGGGATGTCTGGCCTACCACCATCTCATGCATTAGATAGGACCAGAGTCCTGGACACCTCGGGACATCAGTGGTTTGGAGAAGGTACTGGGAAAATGTGACCCAGCATGTCTGCACGGAAACACCACCCAACATGGACAAGGAGGGCCGTGACCCTTCTGTTCACTCCCTTCCCACTAGGCAGCCCAGCTCCACCACAGGCACAAAAGTAGGAGATGAGAGGATGGGAGAAGTTGAGGGATGGAGTCTAATGGAAAGCCCACTGAGTCAGCAGTGGTTCTACTCCAGTCACAGCAGCAGCTCCAAACAGGGCTCACTCAGCATCCCCAAAGTACTGACCTGTCACATGTAGGCGGAAGGAGAGCCGCTGACCCCCAGCCTCGCAGCTGTATTCCCCAGCCTCTGTCTGGCCCACCTGCTGCACCACCAGCCTCCGTGTGCAGCCCACGGCCTCCACGCGCACTTTCGAGCTGGAGCTCAGCTTCTTCCTGTCCTTGTACCATGTCACCTCCGTCTGGGCCTGGGCCACCTCGCAGCTCAGCGTGGCACTGGCCCCCACCTCAGCCTGCAGCTCCCTGTGCGCCGGCTGCTCCTTGGCAAACACCACCTTGGGCTCTGGGGATGGACAAGGAGGGACACACAAGGTCAAAGATACTGCCCAGGTCAGGAAGACCACCCTAGGGTAGGAGGGCCTGGATAAGGAAGTAGGAGAAACAGAACCTTCCCAAGCTCTGCACTGGCCATGTGGCCGGGAGAAATCCCACCGCCTCCCAGCACAAGAATCACAGTTTCTCCATCCACTGTGCACGCTGCCATGGGCTGTCCCAGGCGGGGCAGCAGTGACAGACTCCGTGCACGAGCTCCTCCAGCGCAGGGACTGGGGTCCTGATGCCTGCACAGCTCCCTTCACGGATATACCAGCGTCTCCCCCATGGGACTGCAGGGCGTGTCCTCACCACAGGGCCCCAGAATACTGAGTTTCCCAGTCCTGCCACTGTCAGGAGGGTCAGCGTTGGCCTCTGCAGGGAAGGCCTGGGCTTTGTCATGCATTGCCTGGTGACATGCAAGGTGGAGCCCTTTCCACCACTTCTGGCCGTTACATCAGCTCTTCTGGGGTGTCACTCTTCAGGCTTCTGTCCAATTTTCAATAGCCTTTTCTGTCTTTTCCTTTCTTATTTTTAGGAACTCTTTATATATTTTAAATGCTAGCAAATGATAACTGTGTATTTGTAAACATCTTACCCATGTCCTTGACCTGCCTTTTCACTCTCAAATGATGTCTTGACAAATTAAAGTTGTAGTTTTAATGTAGGTAAATATACCATTGTTCCACTCTGTAGTTTTAAGAAATCTTTCCTTTCCCTGAAGTTTTCAGCAATCTATGTTATCATCTAGGGGTTTTATGGTTTTACCTTTTATACTCTGTGGCCTCTAACCTCCCTGGAACTTACTTTTTAGTGTGAAATAAGTTACTAGTCTAAATTTTTATAAGGTTAAAAAATCAAAGAACCATTTTTTTTTCAGAAGATCATCCTTTCTCCACTGCCTGTGCAGGTGTGAAGGTTAAAAAAAAAACACACACACAAAAACAAAAAAACAAGAAACAATAAAAGGGAGAATCCATGTATTTGGGTCCGATCATGAGCTCACGATTCTGTCCCTTTGGTCTGACAACTGTCCTTGTGTTGTGCCTGGCTGTCTCCATTCCTGCAGCTGATTGGTTCTTAATATCTGGTAGACAAATGCTCACAAGTGGCTCTTCAAGAGTATGTTACTCCACTTGGCCTTCAGAATCTGCTTCTCAACCTTCACCTCCCCAAAGAAAAACATTTGCTTGGGTTTTGACTGGGTGTGAACATATTTGAGTCTTCCATGGGTTTCTATCTATTTATTTAGGTCTTCTTACTGTCTGCCAAAAATGTTTCACAATGGCCAGGCACAGCGGCTCACACCTGTAATCCCAGCACTTTGGGAGGCTGAGGTGGGAGGATTGCTTGAGTTTGAGCCCAACCTGGGCAAAATAGTGAGACCCTGTTGCTACCAAAAAAATTTCTTAAAAAATTAGCTGGGCGTGGTGGTGCATGGCCTATAGTCTCATCAAGTCAGGAGGCCGAGGTGGGAGGATCTCTTGAGCCCACCCAGGAGGTCGAGGCTGCAGTGAGCCATGATTATACCACTGAACTCCACTCTGGGTGACAGAGTGAGATCCTGACTCAAAAACAAAAATGTCTGACAATTTTCCTCCACTGAGATATTAAACATCTTTACTATACTTGATGCTTTTCATGCTCTTGTAAATCTTTTAAAATTTCACCTTACAACTGTGTTGCTAGTGTGTGTGTGTGTGTGTATGTGTACATACATACATATATACGTGTATTCTGCATGTTGAATTTCTACGTGATGTTTCTCAACTCTCATATTATTTGTTATTACTTATTATTTATCTTGTTATTTATCTCTCTATCTTTTGGATTTTCTGAATTGATACTCATATCATCTGTGAATCCCACTTATGTTTTTCTCCAAGTGTTATACCTTTTCTTTTCCTTTCCTCCTTCCTCTGCTGTACAGTGCTGAATGGAAGTGGGGATGGTTGGTTTCCACGTGCTGATTCCTATCTCAAAGGCAAAGCTTTCAAGGTGCTCTTTAAATATGCAGTTACCTGGTGTTTTCTGCAGTACCATTGACCAAATTAAAGAAGGACACTTTATAATTTGTTAAAAATTTCATGACATGAATTGATGCTGAATTTTATCAAATATTACTTCTAAACTTTAATATTAAATTTAATCAAACACTGTATTCTGTATTTATTAAGATCACACAACTTTTTCATTGCATCCAATTACATCATCCTTTATACAGATTTGCATATTTCAAAAACGAAACCAGCCTTGCATTCTGGGACTACATCCTTCCTTAGAGGCACTTGAGAGATAGCTAAATTCAGTTTGCTAATATTTTTTTTTTTATATCCATAATGGATTGGTCTAAAATTTTAATTCTTGTTAACATTCTTTGTCCATATTATGATATCCATATTATATTTCTTATTTTTCTTTTTTTTCTTTTTTGAGACAAGAGTCTCAATCTGTTGACCTAGCTGGAGTGCAGTGGCGCCATTATAGTTCACTGTAACTCCAACCTCCTGGGCTCAAGCAGTCCTCCCACCTCAGCCTCCCAAGCAGCTAGGACTTACAGGCACCCACTACAACACCCAGCTAATTTTTAAATTGTTTTTCAGAGACAGGGTTTTGCTGTGTTGCCCAGGATGATCTCGAACTCCTGAGCTCAAGTGATCCTTCTACCTTGGCCTCCCAAAGTGTTGGGATTACAGGCATGAGCCACTGCCCTAGGCTATATCATGTTTCTACAAGACTATCTGGAGAGTATATCTGCTTTTCTGTTCCCTAGTAGAAGAATCTGTATGAACATAGAATAATTTATTTCCTAAATATTTAGTATAATTTAGCAGTAAAGCCACCAGGCTTACGTCTTTTGCTATGAGCAGATGGTTTTCATGGTTCAATTTTTTTAAGTTTCTAGGACTACTAGAGTTATCTATTTCTCTTTGTGTCACTTTTGATATATTTCTAGGAACTGGCCAAACTGTCAATATTTTTCAAATTTATTACTACAAAATTTATTACCACAAATATATTTCTATAAAATAATTTGTCATATTCTCTTAAAATTTGACAAACATACAGAGTGAGGTTTTGGGTGTATATACACCCCCCAAATCACTCTATGCTGATGCAGTAACAAACTGTTATATGGTGGCACCTAGAGGTCAGTGTGGGACCTACAGCCGGGGTTACTAAGACTGTCTTAATGAAAGGAAAATAAATTTGTTTCTCAGACTTCTCTATGAAGCAGCCATGGAGGCTCAAAAACAGTAACCATTAGGAAATTCTATAAAATAAATACACATAACAAACAGAGGCTGCTACGAAGGGAACTCGCCTTTGACAAAGTGTGGTGGTGTCGCCTACTCTACTTACTCTTTTCTATTTCTGAATCAAACTACAAGGAGAACACTGACACCAAATACTCCAATTGAGGACAAAAGGAAAACATGCTTTGTCTTAGAAACAGTATTCTAAGCCCATGGATGCACTGCACAGGCACGTCCCCACTGGGGCACCACTCCTTACGATTCACGCAATCATAGCAAGTCAGGGATCTACATTTTGTAACATACGGGAAGAGGGAAGAGTGTCTCTCCTCCTCTAAAACTATGATAAGCCAAATTTTAGTTTTGGGAAAATTCCAAGGACAATCCGGTGACTGAAAACTCCCATTATCTTGTTTGGATGAAATGGAGGCAGCTCCCCTTCCCCTGGCGAGAGCCCTACGCTCTGTGGGGTGAGGATGGGGGAGCTGCCAGACATCCAACAACAGCACATTCACCTCTGTGCATGCGACAGACGCGAGGTTCACCTCAACCCCCAGCTCCAGGGGCAGTGAGACTCCTTGGACACCAAGAAAACTAGGAAGGTGCCCGCAGGTGTGACTGAGAACTACCAAGTACAAACATGTCCCCCGTTTTGCAGGAACAGGCCCTCTCCCTCCCAGGCACACCCCTCCCTTGGCCCAGCCACAGGGATGGAAATGGGAGTGGGAGGATGGGTAGCCCGAGACATGAAGGCTGAAGGCAAGTGCACAGAGATATGCTAGGGCTATGAGCCAGAACCACCATCACCTCTGAAGAGGCTCCTAGGGCCCCCAAAGCACTGACCTGCCACGTGCAGGCCGAAGGAGAGCCGCTGACCCCCGGCCTCGCAGCTGTACTCCCCAGTGTCTGCCTGGCCCACTTGCTGTACCACCAGCCTCCGTGTGCAGCCCACGGCCTCCATTCGCACTTTCGGGCTGGAGCTCAGTTTCTTCCCGTCCTTGTACCACGTCACCTCTGTCTGGGCCTGGGCCATCTCACAGCTCAGCGTGGCACTGGTCCCCAGTTCGGCCTGCACCTCTCTGCGCACTGGCTGCTCCTTGGCAAACACTGCCTTGGGCTCTGGGGAACACAGGGATGCACAGGGTGACCACCACCATCTAGATCAGGAAGGCAGCACTGGGGAGAGAAGGCCTGGGCAGGGAGGTGGGAGGGAGAGAACCTTCCCCAGCCTCAGGCTCTGCACTGGCCATGTGGTCGGGAGAAGCCCCACCACCTCCCAGCACAAGCAACACAGTTTCTCCTTCCATTCTGCACGGCACCATGGGCTGTCCCAGGCAGGGCTGCCATGACAGATCCTCCAGGGCAGGGACTTGGGTCCTGACACCTGCACAGCTTCCCTCATGGATGTGCCACGGTCTACCCAGGGGACTGTGCAGGGCATGTCCTCACCCCGGGGCCCCAGAGTCTGAGACTCCCAGTCCTGCCACTGTCAGGAGGGTCAGCTCTAGCCGCTGCAGAGAGGGCCTGGGCCTCCTGTGGCTTCCTGGGTCCCTGTCAGGAAGACTGTCAAGCTGAGTGCCTTCTGATGGTTTGGGGACAGAGTCTTTGCTCTTCTGTGGTGTCACTGTTAAAGTGTTTTGCCAAATTTTCTTTTCTTTTCTTTTTTTTGAGACAGGCTCTCACTCTGTCACCCATGCTGGAGTGCATTGGTGTGATCATAGCCCACTGCAGGTTCAATCCTTAGGCTCAAGACATCCTCCCACCTCGGCCTCCCAAGGAGCTTGAGACTACAGGCATGCATCACTATGCCTAGCTCTTTTATTTTTTATTTTCTAGAGGCAGGGTCTTGCTATGTTGCCCAGACTGTTGTCAAATTCCAGGGCTCAAGCAATCCTCCTGCCTTGGCCTCCCAAAGCGTTTGGGTTACAGGCATGAGCCACCATGCCCAACCCCAATTTTCAGTAGCACTGTCTTTTACATATTTATTTTTAGGAACTTCATATACTTAAAAGCTATGTATGTTACAAACATCTTCTCTATCTCTATGCCTTGCCCTTTCACTCCTGTATGAAAGTTCTCTGATGAAATAAAGTGATCAGTTTTATTGCAGGCAAATAATCATTCATTCTGTGTGGCTAGTGCATTCAGGTTCTGTTCAAAACATCTTCTATTACCCAGAGGTCACCAGATAATCTATATTATCTATATTATCTGGTAAGAGCTGTTCTACCCACATATTGAGTTGATTTCTTGTATGGGGAGGTAGACACCCAATTTTATTTTATTTTTGTGAACAGTTAATTGTCTTAGCACCATTTGTGAAAAGATCACCCTTCCTCTACACCTTCTCCTAGCACCAGGGTAAAAAATAAAGAAAGGGAGGAGGAATCTGGTTCCATCAAAGCTGTTTTGAGCTCAGTATTCAATTATTTTGGTCTGTTGATCTCTTTCTGCCTTTGGGTCCAGGTATCTGGATCACCACTGCTTTAGAGGACACCCTGCTGTCTGGTACAGCAAAGGCCCTCACACTGTGTTCTTCAAGGGTAGCTTGGCTCTGCTTGGCCTTTGCTATGTGCTTGTCAGTATTCTCTCACCCAACAGAACTATGGTTGACTGGGATTTATACTTTCAGGTCTTCCACAGCCTTTTAACTATTTATTGAGATCTTTTTTACTGTCTCTCAACAATGTTTAATAATTTCCCCCCCAAAAACCATCTAAAGATCTTTTGTTGGCTTGCAATTGGTAACTACAAGACTTTGGATGGTACTGGAAATCTCTTAAAACATTATTTTCCATCTACTTATTTCTGGTACATAGATCTAGAAGTGTTTTCTGTATATTGATTTTTTTATGTGATAACCATTCCCAAATGTCTTACTAATAATTAGGGGTTTTTTTGGACTTTCTAAATTAATAACCATATCATCTGTGAGTTGCATGTTTTATTTTCCAAGTTTTACACCTTGTACTTTCTTTTCCTCCTCTGTCTGCTATACAGTGTTGGAAGAAGTGGTGATGGATGGAGTCCTTGTCCTGTTTCCAATCTCAAAGGCGACACTTTCAAGGTTTCATGTTTGTGTAATATTAGCTTGTTTTCTTTATACTATTGCTTATGAAATTAAGGAAAAAATGTTTTTATTTAGAGTTTGTTAAGAATTATATGACATGAATTGATGCTAAATTTTTCCAAATTTTTTTGCATATTTATGATGTTGTACTTTATCCAATGCTTTTAGTCTCCATATTGGGGTAATCACATTCGTTTTTCTTTCAATCTATTAATGTCACATTTTGTACTGATTTTCAAATGTTTCTCATGTTAAACCAGCCTTGCACTACTGGACTATGACTTTTGTCATTGTGTGTTATCCTCTTGATACATTGCTGAATTCAGGGTGCTAATACTTAGTTTAAGATAATGAGCCTTGACACTGATAAGAGATTGGCCAATTTTAATTCTTCATATTCACCCTGTCAGAGCTTTGTATTAATGATATTTACCTACATTAAACGAGATAGAGCACTGAGGTCCTTTTTCAATACTCTAGAGGAATGTGTATGAACATGGAATAATTTCTTTCTATAATATTTGGTTCAGTTTACAGTAGAGCACTGGGGTAATCTTCTATGAGAAGATTATTTGTTGCATTTCTATAAAAGGTTATAGGACTGTTCAACTTACCTATTTTTACTTTTGATATAGTTTTGAAGAAATTGATCAATTTGCCAAAACTTTTCAAATTTGATTGCATAAATAATAGGGCCGGGCATGGTGGCTCACCCCTGTAATTAGAGCACTTTGGGAGGCCGAGGCAGGTGGGTCACCTGAGGTCAGGAGCTCAAGACCAGCCTGGTCAACATAATGAAACCTTGTTTCTGCTAAAAATACAAAAAAATTAGCTAGGCATGGTGGTGTATGCCTGTAGTCCCAGCTACTCAGGAGGCTAAGGCAGGAGAATCACTCGAACCCAGGAGGCAGAGGTTACAGTGAGCCAAGATCGCACCACTGCACTCCAGCCTGGGTGACAGAGCGAGACTCCATCTCAAAATAATAATGGCATGTTCTCACATAACAACATTTCCAGTACCTACAAAGGGGGGTTTCTGGCATCTATACACCCTCACAAACACCTAGATGCTGATGTGACACCAGTGTTAAGTGTCAGTACCTATGAACAAGTGTGTGACTGCACTCCATCTCCATCCAACAAAAGACTCTCTTACTAAAAGAAAATAAAGCTGGTTCTCAGATTTCTCTATCAACTAGCCATGAATTATTAGAATGGTATGAAACACATACTGCTTTATCTGTCAGTGGCTGCTGTGTAGTAATTCATCTTTAAAATGTGTGTTGATGTAGCTTGATTTGTTTATTCCTCTTCAGTTTTAAATATACAAAATTAAACTAAGGGAAGTTCAGTCACAGAATGTTCTGACATAAGAGCAAATGAAAACAACATACACTTTCAGAAGATAATTCCAAACCTCACAGTGGTGTATCGCAGTCCAAATCCACCAATTCCCAGCTCTGTATTTATTCTGTAGGCAGTATAATAAAAACAAGCCGGGTGTAGTGACTCACACCCGTAATCCCAACAGTTTGAGAGGCCAAGGCGGGTGGATCACTTGAAGCCAGAAATTTGAGACCAGCCTGACCAGCATGATGAAACCCCATCTCCACTGAAAATACAAAAATTAGCCAGGTGTGGTGGCAGGCGCCTGTAATCTCGGCTACTTGGGAGGCTCAGGCAGGAGAATTGCTTGAACCCAAGAGGCAGAGGTTTCAGTGAGCTGAGATTGTGCCACTGTACTCCAGCCTGGGTGACAGACTCTGTTTCAAAAACAACAACAACAACAACAAACCCAAGATATAGATTTTGCCACATGTGGGTTCACAGTGACCTTTTATGCCCATAAGAAAGATGAGAAGAGGGTCCCCGAACACTTAAAACTTGGATAATCCAAAGTTCAAATCATGAGATAATTTCAAGAATGATTGTGTGGCTGAAATTTGCCCTTATGCTGGTTCAATGGAATTCAACCATCTCTCCATAGGGAGAGCCCTCAGGTCGTGCTGGTGAGGCTGGGTGCAAGCTCTCAGATGGCCTCAGGTGAGAGACATCTGGTCTACTTCAGCCTCCTGTAGCAGCCCCCTCAGTTCCATTGAGCCAAAGGGCTGGACACCTGGGAGCACCTGTGGGTTCTGACTGGGTGCTGGGAATATGTGAACAGCATTACTGCCTGTAAACACAACTCACAGTGTCTCCTGTACACACTCATCCCTTCTGGCCAACCTCGGGCCAGCCATGGGTAGGAAAACGGCAGCTAGGATTACGAGAGACTTCCAGAGATGAACTCTAGTGGAAAGAGTACTGGGGTCTATCAGCCAATCTCATCATCACCTCCACACAAGGTAACTCAGCATCCCCAAAGCATTGACCTGCCACATGCAGGCTGAAGGAGAGCTGCTGGCCCCCAGCCTCACAGCTGTACTCTCTGGCATCTGCTTGGCCTGCCTGCTGCACCACCAGCCTCCGTGTGCAGTCTGCAACCTACACATGCACTTTCGAGCTGGAGCTCAGCTTCTTCCTGCCCTTGTATCACATCACCTCTGTCTTGGCCTGGGCCACCTCACAGCTCAGTGTGGCACTAGCCCCTGCTTCAGCCTGCACCTCCCTGTGCGCTGGTTGCTCCTTGGCAAACACTGCCTTGGGCTCTGGGGAAGGCAGGGATGCACAGGGTGACCACCAGCATCTAGGTCAGGAAGGCAGCACTGGGGAGAGAAGGCCTAGAAGGGGACATGCGAGGGGCAGATGCTCTCCAGGCTCTACACCACTGCCTACCAGTACAAGGAACACAGTTTCTCCATTCATTCTCCATGGAGGATCTGTCACACCCCCAGGGCACCCTGCAGAACAGTAGCATGTTCCTGTGGTCCCTGCTGCTTGGGAGGCTGGTCTCGAATGCCTGAGCTCAAGCCATCCTTCTGCCTCAGCCTCTCAAAGTGCTGGGATTACAGGTATGAGTCACCGTGCCAGGCCTGATGCTAAATTTTATCAAAGAGCCGTTCAGAATTTATGATGTTAAATTTTATCAAACTTTTCTTCTGCATTTATTGAGATAATCATACTGTTTTTCTCTTTCAATCTGTTTGACATTTTCTGATGTTTTGAATATTGAACCAGTACAGCATTTCTAAATTATGCCTTTTATCATAGTGCATTTTCCTTTTGACATACTGATCATACCACTTTGAAAATATATTGTTGAAGCATTGGCCTACATATCCATAATGATTGGCCTGTAATTTCAAATCGTTATACTGTTCTTGTCATAATTGGTATCTATGTCATGCTATCCACATAAAACAGATTCAAGAGTGTATCTTCTCATTCTATTCTCTGAAAGGATCTCTAAGAACATGAAATAATTTGTTTTGAGGATATCTAGTATAATTTATCAGTAGATCCACTGGGCTTAGACCTTTTATAAAAATATTTGTATCACTGGTTCCACTTAATTAAAAGCTATAGGACTATCTGAGTTGTCTGTTTCTTCCTGTGTAACTTTTTCATATAGTTTTCTCTAAGAAATTGGCAATTCTCCAAAACTTATAAAATGTATTACCATTAAATAATTTATCGCGTAAGCCCGGGAGGCGGAGCTTGCAGTGAGCCGAGATCGCCACTGCACTCCAGCCTGGGCGACAGAGCAAGACTCCGTCTCAAAAAAAAAAAAAAATAATAATAATAATAATAATAATTTATCGCACTCTCTTAACACAATATTTTAGAAAGATACATAGTGGGCTTTTTTGGTATCTATACACAGCTACAAATGACTATATACTGATAGAATGCCAAGCTCTCAAGGGTTGGCATTTGGGAGTCAATATAGTACCACAACCTTTTTCTCTCTGATATTTAGCCTGGTTTTTTGTTATTGTTGTTGTTGTTTTTATTTTTTATTTTTTCCAGAACAGGGTCTCACTCTGTCGCCCAGGCTGGAGTGCAGTGGTGTGATCATGGCACACTGCAGCCTGGAACTCCTGGGCCCAAGTGATCCTCCTGCCTCAGCCTCCTGAGTAGCTAGGACTACAGGCATGTGCCACTTCATCCAGCTAATTTCTGCATTTTTTGTAGAGACGAGGTCTTGCTATAGCACCTAATTTGGTCTCAAACTGCTGGGATCAAACAATCCTCCTGCCTCGACCTCCCAAAGTGCTGGGACTACAACAGTCATGAGCCACTATGCCCAGGCCAGACTCTTTTAACAAAATATATACATATCTTAGGTGTGCTGAGATAGCTTAAGCTCTTTCTTCCTTTCTACTGCTAAATTAATAAATCAGACTCCAAGGGGGAATTCTGACTCAGAATGTTGTAACTAGAGACAAAAGGAAAGCCAGATTAGTCTTAAGAAGAGCACTTGGAATCTCACAATTGTATCCCAGGGGCACAGTCACCAGCCCTCTGGGCTGGGATTTTTTGCACAGACACTGCAAGAAAACAAGGACCGAGATTTTGCCATGTATAGGTGCACAGTGAGCTTCTAAAGCTTCTAGATCCATGAAAAAAAAAGGAAAGAGTCTCCTGGGACACCAAAAGCTTTGATGCTCCGAAGTTCAGTCTGGAGAGAATTCCAACTGGGACTGCGTGGGCAGAATTTCCCCTATGCGGTTCATATGAATTCAAAATGTCTCTCATGGGCGAGAAGCTCCACATGGTGCTGAAGGGAGGCAGGCGGGAGATACTGGATGATAGAAAGGACACCCCACTTTCCCAGGGGAGGCACCTGGTCCACCTCAGACCACAGGGCCAGATAGTGCCAGGGGCCTGGACACGAAAGAGCATGGGGGTTTGGGGCAGGGGCTCAGTGTGATGAGGCTGCACTGCATGGGAACGCTGCTCCAAGTGCACCACAGGGCCTGGCCCTCCCTGTACCCTCCCATCCAGCCAAGCCTGGCCCAGTCACGGGCATGAACCTGGTAAGTGAAGGCATGGAGAAGTGGAGAGGTGGAGTCTCATGGAAAGGGCACTGGGGGCCGTGAAGTCCATCAGCCAGTCTCATCATCACCTCCACACAAGGTCACTCTCCATCCCCCAGAGTACTGACCTGCCACGTGCAGGCGGAAGGAGAGCCGCTGGCCCCCCGCCTCGCAGCTGTACTCCCCAGCGTCTGCCTGACCCGCCTGCTGCACCACCAGCCTCCGTGTGCAGCCCTCGGCCTCCACATGCACTTTCGAGCTGGAGCTCAGCTTCTTCCCGTCCTTGTACCACATCACCTCCGTCTGGGCCTGGGCCACCTCGCAGTTGAGCGTGGCGCTGGCCCCCGCCTGGGCCTGCACCTCCCTGTGCACCAGCTGCTCCTTGGCAAACACCGCCTTGGGCTCTGGGGAAGGCAAGATGCACAGGGTGACCACCAGCATCTAGGTCAGGAAGGCAGAACTGGGGAGAGAAGGCCTGGAAGGGGAGGTGCGAGGGACAGATGCTCTCCAGGCTGCACCACCACCTCCCAGCACAAGGAAGCTTCTCCATCTATTCTGTACGGTGCCACAGGCTGTCCTTGGTAGGGTGGCTGTGACAGATCTTGCATGCACGAGCTCATCTGGGGCAGGGATTGGTGTCCTGATGCCTGCACCCTTCCCCTCATGAATGGAGCAAGGGTCTCCCCATGTGGCTGTGCAGGGCGCATCCTCACCACAGAACCCCAGTCCTGAGGCTCCCGCTCCTGCCACTGTCAGGACGGTCAGCTTTGGCCTCAGTGGGGTGTGTCACTGTGGCTTTCTTTATTGTTCTACGGTTCACAGGGCTGAGCATCTTTCTAGAGGATTGGCCATTCCTGTTTGCTCCTCTGTAGTGTCACTACTCAATTCTATCCCATTATTAATAGCACTGTCTTGTCTTTATTCACTTTAAGGCAGCAGTCCCCAACATTTTTGGCAGCAGGGACCAGTTTCATGGAAGACAATTTTTCCACAGATGGAGGTCTGGGGGACAGTTTCGGGATGAAACTGTTCCACTTCAGATCATCAGGCATTAGATTCTCATAAGGAGCACAACCTAGATCCCTCCCATGCACAGTTCACAATAGGGTTCATGTTCCTATGAGAATCTAGTGCTGCTGCTGATCTGACAGGAGGCAGAGCTCAGGCAGGAATGCTCACCTGCCACTCACCTCTTACTGTGTGGCCCAGTTCCTAACAGGCCACAGAACAGTACTGGTCCACAGCCTAGGGGTTGGGGACTCCGGCTTTAAGGTCTTCTTTATATATTTAAATGTTAGAGAGGTCAGAATTATGTACTTTGTATCTTCCCTACCTGTGTGACTTGGGTTTTCATCTTTTATGGCGTCTTCTGATGAATCAGACATTTTAGTTTTAATTTACTCAAATACATCGATCTTGTCCATTGTGGTTAGGGCATTCGTGTACTATTTAAACAGTTCCTTAAACCCTAAATTCTACAGATAGCCTATGCTTACCGTCTTGGGGTTTATGGTTTTACCTTTTACCCTGAGGTCTCTAACCCACCAGGAGCTGACTCTCGCACATGCTATGAATTACCAATATGCTTTAATTCTTCCCATATGTTTAAATGGTCCACACACTAGTTATGAAAACACTATCCTTGGCCAGGTGCAGTGGTTCACACCTGTAATCCCAGCACTTTGGGAGGCCAAGGTGGGCAGATCACGAGGTCAGGAGATCGAGACCATCCTGGCTAATATGGTGAAACCCCGTCTCTACTAAAAATACAAAAAAAATTAGCCAGGTGTGGCGGCAGATGCCTGTATTTCCAGCTACTCAGGAGGCTGAGGCAGGAGAATGGTGTGAACCCAGGAGGCGGAGCTGGCAGTGAGCCCAGATCGCACCACTGCACTCCAGCCTGGGCAACAGAGCTAGACTCCATCTCAAAAAAAAAAAAAAAAAAGAAAAAAGAAAACACTATCCTTTCTCTATTTCTTGCACAGATGCCATGGTAAAAAAAGAAAAAGGGGGGGGGATGTCCAGAGATCATCGATGCATGGGACTATTTCTGAGTTCACTATTCCATTTCTTTGTTCTGATACCTAACCATTCGTTGAAATCCATTGTCTTAATTACTGTAACTTTACAATAATTTTTGACATCTGGTACAGTCATGTTCATACTTTTTCTTTTCATTCCCCCAGAAAAAAAATTGTTTGGATCCTGATTGTTAATGAACATATTTTAATTTTTTCATGAATTTCTATCCATTTAATTAGATTTCTTAATGGTCTTGCAAAACATACAATAATTTCCTAGTCCCTCCCCAGGCTTTAAACATCTTTATTAGACTTTGAATTAGAAACATTGTAATTTTGATGCTACTGTAAGTCTTTTCAAATTTCATTTTGCAACTGTTTACTGCTGTATATAGATACAGAAATGTTTTCTGTGTGTTGATTTTTTTTTTACAGGATAATCATTCTCAACAATGTTACTTAGTCTACTAAGTTCTCTATTGGATTTTCCAAGTGGATGGTCATATCATCAGTAAATTTCACTTTTACTTTTTCCAAGTGCTATGCCTTTTGCTTTATCTTCCTCCTTACCCTTACATACAATGTTGGATACAAGTGGTGACACTGCCCTGTCTCCTCTGAATCAAACCTTTCAAGGTTCACTCTGAGTGGGATCCTAGTGGTGCTTCTGCAGTATCATTTATCAAATTAAGGAAAAACACTTCTATAAAGTTTGTTAAGAATCCTATGATAGTGCTAAATTTTCTCAAATATATCTTCTAGATTTTATCAAATACTTTTAATCTGCCTTTATTGAGATAACTATATCATTTTTCATTCAATCTGTTAAGGTCAAGCTTATTATACTGACCTAATGCTTCTAAAGCCAACTAGCCTTGCATTCTGGGACCAGGATCTTCAATAGAGTGCACTGTCTTCTTGATACGTTGCTGAATTCCATTTGCTAATACTTTGTTTATGATTGTGTTCTTGATATCGATAATGACAAATCCATACAGATTGGTCTACAATTTAGTTCTTCCCACTTCCTTTGTCAGATTTTGGTATTAATGTTACACTATCTACATAAAATGATGGCCTGGACATGGTGGCTCACACCTGTAATCCCAGCACTGTGGGAGGCCAAGGCAGGTGGATAGCTTGAACCTAGACGTTTGAGACTAGCCTGGGCAACATGGCAAAACCCCGTCTGTACTGAAAAAAAAAAATACAAAAAAATAGCTAGCATACATGCTATTTTTGTGCTGGTGGTGCATGCCTGTAATCCCAGCTTCTTGGGAGGCTGAGGTGGGAAAATCACTTGAACCCAGGAGGCAGAGGCTGCAATGAGCCGAGATCCTGCCACTGCACTCTAGCCTGGACAATAGAGTGAGGGCCTGTCTCAAAAAAAAAAAAAAATACATAAAATGGCATATGGAGTCAATCTCCTTTTACTATTCTCCAGAACAATATTCATGAATATGGAATAACTGCTTTCCAGAATATTTGAAACAGTTTACTAGAAAATTATTGGATTTAAAATATTTTTTTACTACTGCCTCCATCTATTTAAAACTTATAGGACTATTTAAGTTTTATGTATCCTCTTATGTGAGTTTTCATGTAATTTACTAGGAATTAGCCAAATAGTCCCAACTCTTCAAATTTATTACATGAAACATCTTGTCATATTCTCCGAAAATAACTTCACAAATATATACAGTGGGATTTCTGTTATCTATATATATATATCCACATAACACTGATGCAGATGTAATACCAAACTTATGTGTTAGCACCCAGAGGTCACCATGGGACTTCAGCCCACCCCTATTTGCCATCAACACTCTCCCTTTTTTTTTTCTGAAAGAAAATTAATTGTATTTATCAAGCTTCCCTATGTACCAGCCAAGAGAACACAGACATACACAGCAGCAAACACACTGGACTTACTGGTGAGACATTTGCATTCCAGAGGATGGGAAATAAATCTGACTAAAATTTAGGGACCTTCTACCTCAGTAAAATGTCTAGAGGTCCAGTGGTGTGGGGCCTGTCAAGATATTCCTTCTAAGGTGAAGGATAAGTTGCTGCATTTGGCCCCTCCTACAACCAAGAAAGAGGCACAATGCCTATTCGGATTTTGGAGGCAACACATTCCTCATCTGGGTGTGTTACTCTGGACCATTTATCAAGTGACCCAAAAGGCTGCCAGTTTTGAGTGGGGTCCAGAACAGGAGAAGGGTCTGCAACAGGTCCAGGCTGCTGTGCAAGCTGCTCTGCCACCTGGGCCATATGACCCAGCAGATCCAGTGGTGCTTGAGGTGCCAGTGGCAAATAGGGATGCTGTCTGGAGCCTTTGGCAGGCCCTCACAGGTGAATCAGAGTGGAGGCCTCTAGGATTTTGGAGCAACACCCTGCCATCTTCTGCAGGTAACTACTCCCATTTTGAGAGACAGCTCTTGGCCTGTTACTGGGCTTTGGTGGAAACTGAACAATTGACTATGGATCATCAAGTCACCATGTGACTTGAACTGACTGTCATAACCTGGGTGCTTTCTGACCCATCTAGCCATAAAGTTGGGCATGCACAGCAGCATTCTATCATCAAATGGAAGTGGTATACACATGATAGGGCTAGAGTAGATCCTGAAGGCCCAAGTAAGTTACATGAGGAAGTGGCTCAAGTGCCCATGGTCCCCACTCCTGCCACCCTGCCTTCTCTCCCCCAGCCTGCACCAATGGCCTCATGGGGAGTTCCCTATGATCAACTGACAGAGAAAGAGAAGACTAGGGCCTGATTCACAGATGGTTCTGCATGATATGCGGGCACCACCCAAAGGTGGACAGCTGCAGCACTACAGCCTCTTTCTAGGACATCCCTGAAGAACAGTGGCTAAGGGAAATCTTCCCAGTGGGCAGAACTTCAAGCAGTGCACCTCGTTGTGCACTTTGCTCGAAGGAGAAATGGCCAGATGAGCGATTATACACTGATTCATGGGCTGTAGACAATGGTTTGGCTGGATGGTCAGGGACCTGGAAGAAGCGTGATTGGAAAACTGAGGAAAAGGTATGTGGATGCACCTCTCTGAGTGGTCACAAACTGTGAAGATATTTGTATCTCATGTGAGTGCTCACCAAAGGGTGACCTCAGCAGAGGAGGATTTTAATAATCAAGTGAATAGGATGACTCGTTCTGTGGACACCACTCAGCCTCCTTCCCCAGCCACCCCTGTCATCACCCATGAACAAAGCGGCCATGGTGGCAGGGATGGAGGTTACACGTGTGCTCAGCAGCATGGACTTCCACTCACCAAGGCGGACCTGACTAAGGCCACTGCTGAGTGCTCAATTTGCCAGCAGCAGAGACCAACAATGAGCCCTCGATATGGCAACATTCCTCAGGGTGATCAGACATCCGCTTGATGGCAGGTTGATTACATTGGACCTCTTCCATCATGGAAAGGGCAATGGTTTGTCCTCACCAGAATAGACACTTACTCCAGATATGAGTTTGTCTATCCTGCACACAACACTTTGGCCAAGACTACCATCCATGGATTCACAGAATGCCTTATCCACCGTCATGGTATTCCACACAGCATTGTCTCTGACCAAGGCACTCTATGGTTAAAGAAGTGTGGCAGCAGCCACCGAGATGTTGATGCCTAAGAAGAACCGGATTGCCATTTACGAACTCCTTTTTAAGGAGGGAGTCATGGTGGCCAAGAAGGATGTCCACATGCCTAAGCACCCGGAGCTGGCAGACAAGAATGTGCCCAACCTTCATGTCATGAAGGCCATGCAGTCTCTCAAGTCCCGAGGCTACGTGAAGGAACAGTTTGCCTGGAGACATTTCTACTGGTACCTTACCAATGAGGGTATCCAGTATCTCCGTGATTACCTTCATCTGCCCCCGGAGATTGTGCCTGCCGCCCTACGCCGTAGCCGTCCAGAGACTGGCAGGCCTCGGCCTAAAGGTCTGGAGGGTGAGCGACCTGCGAGACTCACAAGAGGGGAAGCTGACAGAGATACCTACAGACGGAGTGCTGTGCTACCTGGTGCCGACAAGAAAGCCGAGGCTGGGGCTGGGTCAGCAACTGAATTCCAGTTTAGAGGCGGATTTGGTCGTGGACGTGGTCAGCCACCTCAGTAAAATTGAAGAGGATTATTTTGCATCGAATAAACTTACAGCCAAAAAACCTTAAATAAATTGAAAAAAAAAAAGAAGTGTGGCAGTGGGCTCATGCTCATGGAATTCACTGGTCTTACCATGTTCCCCATCATCCTGAAGCAGGTGGACTGATAGAACAGTGGAATGGCCTTTTGAAGTCACAATTCCAAAGCCAGCTAGGTGACAATACTTTTCAGGGCTGGGGTAAAGTTCTCCAGAGGCTGCGTATGCTCTGAATCGGTGTCTAATATATGGTACTGTTTCTCCCATAGCCAGGATTCACGAGTCCGGGAATCAAAGGATAGAAGTGGAAGTGGCACCACTCACCATCACCCCTAGTGACCCACTAGCAATATTTTTGCTTCCTGTTCTCATGACATCACCTTCTGCTGGCTTAGAGATCTTAGTTCCGGAAGGAGGAATGCTGCCACCAGGAGACACAACAACGATCCCATTAAACTGGAATTTAAGATTGCCACCTGGCCACTTTGGGCTCCTCCTACCTTTAAGTCAACAGGCTAAGGGAGTTACATTGTTGGTTAGGGTGACTGACCCAAACTATCAAGATGAAATCAGTCTACTACTTCACAATGGAGGTAAGGAGGCATGTGTGTGGAATATAGGCAATTCCTTTGGGCGTGTCTCAGTATTACCATGCCCTGTGATTAAGGTCAGTGGGAAACTACAACAGCCCAATCCAGGCAGGACTACAAATGATCTAGACCCTTCCGGAATGAAGGTTTGGGTCACTCCACCAGGAAAAAAATTAAAATATCTCTCGCTGACCAGAACCAGCATGTGCTGCTGGGTGAGGGCATATGGTAGCTGCCAGAGCATATACTGAGAGGATATTCACAGAACCCCAGGAGAGAGACGCCTGGTCAACCTCAGAACCCAAGACAAGGGAGATTCAGAGTCCCAGATGTCAAGGAGCACCAGAAAGGTTCTGGGCAGGTGCTGGGAACAAGTGGCTGAGCATTATAAAGTGCAAACACGCCTCCAGGTTTGCAGATACAGCCCTTCTGCCTCCCATGCATACCTCTCTCTCGCCCCAGCCACAGGGATGGAAATGGAAGTAGGAGGATGGGAAGCCCGAGACATGAAAGCTGAAGGAAAGTGCACAGAGATATGCTGGGGCTACGAGTCAGAACCACCATCACCTCTGAAGAGGCTCCTCGGCGCCCCCAAAGCACTGACCTGCCACATGCAAGCGGAAAGAGAGCTGCTTGCCCCCGGCCTCGCAGCTGTACTCCCCGGCGTCCGCCTCGCCTGCCTGCTGCACCACCAGCCTCCGTGTGTAGCCCACGGCCTCCATTCGCACTTTCGAGCTGGAGCTCAGCTTCTTCCCATCCTTGTACCATGTCACCTCTGTCTGGGCCTGGGCCATCTCACAGCTCAGCGTGGCACTGGCCCCCGCCTCGGTCTGCACCTCCCTGTGTGCTGGCTGCTCCTTTGCAAACACCACCTTGGGCTCTGGGGAAGGCAGGGATGCACAGGGTGACCACCACCATCTAGATCAGGAAGGCAGCACTGGGGAGAGAAGGCCTGGGCAGGGAGGCGGGAGGGAGAGAACCTTCCCCAGCCTCAGGCTCTGCACTGGCCATGTGGTCGGGAGAAGCCCCACCACCTCCCAGCACAAGGAACACAGTTTCTCCATCCATTCTGCATGGTGCCATGGGCTGTCCCAGGCAGGGCTGCCATGACAGATCCTCCAGGGCAGGGACTGGAGTCTTGATGCCTGCACAGCTCCCCTCACAGATGTGCCGGGTTCTCCCCAGGCGACTGTGCAGGGTGCGTCCTCACCCCAGAGCCCCAGAGTCTGAGGCTCCCGCTCCTGCCACTGTCAGGAGGGTCAGCTCTGGCCTTTGCGGGGAGGGCCTGGGCCTCCCGTGGCTTCCTGGGGCCCTGTCAAGAGGACTGAAAGCTGGCTGCCTTCTGATGGTCTGGGGATGGAGTCTTCACTCTTCTGTGGAGTCACTGTGCAAGTGCTTTGTCTGACTTTCAATAGCACTGTCTTTCTTTTACACTTTCATTTTAAGGTCTCTTTTTACATTGAAATACTAGAGCAGTGACCATTAGCATGTTAGAAATATCTTCCTTTTCTGTGTAGCTTGCCTTTTCATTCTCTTATGGTGTCTTCCAAAGAATCAAAAATTTTAATTTTAATGTATTCAAATATATCAAATGTGTTTCATTGTGATCAGGGCATGTATGTTCTGTTTAGGAAGTCATGCTTTACTCTGAAATCACCAGAAACATCTCTGTTTTCCTCTAAGACTTGTATGGGTTTCCCCAGGATTCTGACATCTCTAACCAACTGGAGTTGACTTTGTGTGTGGTTGAGATCCTGGTCTGATGTATTTCCCATGTGGTTTAACGGTCCAAATCTTTTTTTTTTTCCTTTTATTTTCTGAGACAAGGTCTCACTCTGTCACCCAGAGCGGAGTGCAGTGATGCAATCATAGCTAACCGCAGCTTCAGTCTCCTGAGTTCAAGCCATCCTCCCACCTCAGCTTCCCAAGTAGCTGGGACTACAGGTACATGGCACCACAGCCAGCTACTTTTTTTTCAATTTCTTTAGAGATGGGATCTTGCTTTGTTGCCCAGGCAGGAATGCAGTGGCGTGATCATAGCTAACTGCAGCCTCCAACTCCTGGGCTCAAATGATCCTCCTGCCTCAGCCTCCCAAGTAGCAGGGACTTACAGGTGCACACCACCATGCCTGGGTAATACGACTTTCTTCATAGCATACTATTCTCTTAGTATATTGCTAAATATATATTAATAATATGTTGTTTAAGATTTTGTCCTTGTTATCCATAATAGGGTTGGCCTATTTTTAATTCTTCTTACTTTGTATCAACGTTATGCTACCTACATGAAACAAATCAGAGAGTGCATCTCTTCATTGTATTCTCTAGAAGAATCTCCATGAACATGGAATAATTTATTTGCAGATTGTTTGGTACAATTTACTGTATAGTTATTAGATATTGCTTAGAAATTTACTGGTGAAAACATTTTTTGTTACTAGTCCCATTTATTTAAAAGTTATAGGACTATCTGAGCTGTCTATTTCTTCTTATGTTACTTTTTATATACTTTTTAAACAATTTAACAATTTGTTGAACCTGTTCATATTTATTACCAATAAATAATTTGTCATACTCTCCTAAAATAGCACTTTAGAAAGACACATAGTGGGTTTACTGGCATCTATAACCACCCACAAACCACTGCACAGTGGTAATACCAGACTGTCATGTGTTGGCCGCCAGGCATCAACATGGGGCTGCAGCCCACAGATCTCTGATGTGAAGATTCTCTTAATGAAAAGAAAATAAATGTGGTTTCAGAATTCTCTATGACCCAGTCAGGAAAAGCCACAACATAATTACTGGGAAATGCTACTGAATAAATACTGCTTTTGTCAGTTAGGTGCTGCTTGATATGGTTTGCCTCTGTGTCCCCACCCAACTCTCACCTTGAATAGTAATAATCACCACGCTGCAATGGTGGGACCAGGTGGGGGTAATTGAATCATGGGGGCAGTTTCCCTCATGTTGTTCTCGTAACAGTAAGTGACTACTACCAAGATCTGATGGTTTTATAAGGAGCTCCCTTCTTCACTCGGTACTCATTCTTTCTCCTGAAGCCCTGTGAAGAGGTGCCTTCCACCATGATTGTAAGTTTCCTAAGGCCTTGCAAGTTTCCTGAGGCCTTCCCAGCCATGCAGAACTGTGAGTCAATTAAACCTCTTTCCTTACCCACTCTCGGGTATGTCTTTATTAGCAGTGTGAGAACAGACTAATATAATGCTACTATTGCATCTCAGTTGTATCAGTGCCTGGTGATGTCATCTAAGCTACTTATTCCTTTCCATTTCTCAATTTAAAAATCAAGCTCCAAGGAGAATCTGACATATTCTAACTAAAAACAAAGGAAAACAAGAGTTGTTTTTGGCAGAGAATTCCAGACCTCATGGGTGCATATCACAGGCTCATATGTACCAATCCATGCTGCTGTTTTACTTGACACAGACACTGCAACAAACATGGATCTAGGTTTTGCTACCTGTGGGTGCACAGCTAACTTCCATGTCCATGCAAAAGAAGGGAGAAGGTCCCAGGACATCGAAAATCAGATAATCCACAGTGTGATACTGAGATAATTCCATGTATGGTTGTGTGGCTGAAATTCCCCTTTCTCCCAGCTGAGTTAAATTCAAACATCTGTCACTAGGGAGAACAAGCATGCGGGCATGTGGGAGCTGCCAGACATCCAGTAGAAGGAAATTCACATATCCCCAGGTGGAGACACCTGGTCTACCTTGACCACAGGGCCTGGTAGAGACAAGAAGAAACACCAGCAAGGTTCTAGGCAGATGATGGGAACGTATGATCGAGCATTACTGCATATAAACACCATTCCAGGTACACAGCAACAGCCCCTGTCCCTCCACACATACCTTTCCCATCTGGCCTCCCTTGACCACACCAGTTATGAAATAGGAATTGGGAGGATAGGAAACCACAGAGGTAAAGGCTAATGGGAAGAGCACCAGAGTCTATCAACCAGTCTCATCATCACCTCTACAAAGTTAGTACCCCTAAAGCACTGACCCGAAACATCCAGGTGGAAGGAGAGCCGCTGGTCCCCGGCCTCACAGCTGTACTCCCCAGCATCTGCCTGGCTTGCCTGCTGCACCACCAGCTGCCGCATGCAGCCTGTGGCCTCTACACGCACTTTCGAACTGGAGCTCAGCTTCTTCCCGTCCTTGTACCACGTCACCTCCGTCTGGGCCTGGGCCACCTCACAGCTCAGTGTGGCGCTGGCTCCTGCCTCGGTCTGCACCTCATTATGCACCGACTGCTCCTTGGCAAACACCGCCTTGGGCTCTGAGGGTGGACAGGAGGGATGCACAGTCAGAGACACAAATCTGGGACCAACCCATTTCACAGGCACTGAAGATTCAGGATTCAGCAACAACAAACAACTAATGAAAGATATAAACCCACAGACTCAAGATGTTCTACAATCCCAACCAGGATAAAGACAAAGGAAACCACACCTACGTTCATAAAAGAAATACTACCACAAAGCGAAATCAAAAGAAAATCTTAAAAGCAACAGGATGAAAAAAGGTACATGACCGTTAAAATATCCATAACAAATTTCACAGTTCATATTTCAAAGAAAATATGGACACCAGAAGGGAGTGGGGAGTAGCTGCTAAACTGTAATGTTATACACAGATACAACAGCCCTCAGAATCAAAGGGAGAACAAATATGTGCTCACAAAAGAAATAAAAAGTTAGAGAAGGCATATGACCAGCTGACCTGCTAACATAAATACTGAAGACATAGTTCTACAAGAAGAAAAAAGAATAGTAATCCCAGAATATTGGGTCCAAATTCTGACTGCAATTTTCTGGCTTTGTGAACTGTGGTGAGTTACTTCCCTGTGTGTTATTTTAAAATGAGAATAATCAGAGTTCCTCCTCACAAATTGTTTTGAAGTTTAAGCAAGCAGAAAGACAAGAAGCACTTCACAAAATCTAGGTCCTCAGCACACAATTAATACCTGCTAGTTGTTATTACAGGGGAAGCTTTATGAGAAAAAAGGCCCTTGGGTGGGACTTCCATACATACCCTAAGTACATAAAGATTATCCTAAAAGCATAAGAAAGACCTCAAAAAACTCACCTGTGATGTGTAGTTGAAAGGAGACCCTCTGGCCCCCAGCTTCGCAGCTGTACTCCCCAGCATCTGCTTTGCCCACCTGCTGTACCACCAGCCTCCTTGTGCAGCCCTTGACCTCCATGCGCACTTTTGAGCTAGAGCTCAGCTTCTTCCCATCCTTGTACCACTTCACTTCCATCTGAGCCTGGGCCACCTCACAGCTCAATTTGGCACTGGCCCCCGCCTCAGCCCACACCTCATTATGCACTGACTGCTCCTTTGCAAACATCATCTTGGGCTCTGAGGGTGGACAAGGAGAGATGCACAGTTAGAGACACAAATCTGGAACCAACCCATTTCACAGGCACTGAAGATTCAGGATTCAGTAACAGCAAACAGCTGATGAAAGACATACACCCACAGACTCAAGATGTTCTACAATCCCAACCCAGATTCAGAGAAAGGAAACCACAACTAGGTTCATCAAAGAAAAAAAGGCCACGAAGCAAATTCAAAAAGAAAATCTAAAAGCAACATGATGAAAAAAGATACATGACCCTTAAAATGTCTACAGTAAATCTTACAGTTGATATTTCAAAGGAAAAGATAATGGAATGACCTCTTTAAAATGTTAGGGAGTGGAGGAATAGCTGATAAACTGTAATGTTATATCCAGATAAAACAGTCCTCAGAATCAAAGGGAGAACAAATAGGTTTTCATATGAGAAAAAAAAAAATGATGGAATATATATAACCAGCAGAGCTGCTAACATAAATACTGAAGATAGAACTCTTCAAGAAGAAAAAAAGAATAATAATCCTAGAATACTGGGTTGAAATCTTGACTGCAATTTTCTGGCTTTGTGAACTGTGGTGAGTTACTTCCTTGTGTGTTATCTTAAAATGGGAATAATCAGAGTTCCTCCTCATAGAATTGCTTTGAAGTTTAAGCAAGCAGAAAGACAACTAGCATTCACAAAATCTATGCTCCTTGGCACAAAATTAATACTTGCTAGTTATTATAACGGAAGCTTTGTAAGAAAAGAGGCAATTAGGTGGCACCTCTATGCTAATGTCACTAAAAATTATCCTAAGGAACGTAAGAAAGATCTCAAGAAACCCATCTGTGATGTGCAGGTGGAAGGAGACCCTCTGGCCCCTGGTCTCGCAGCTGTAGTCCCCGGCATCCATCTTGCCCACCTGCTGCACCACCAGCCTCCGTCTGTAGCCGTTGGCCTCCATATGCACTTTCAAGCTAGAGCTCAGCTTCTTCCCATCTTTGTACCACGTCACCTCTGTCTGGGCCTGGGCCACCTTGCAGCTCAGTGTGGCCCTGGCCCCTGCCTCAGCCTGCACCTCACTGTGTGCCACCTGCTCCTTGGCAAACACCACCTTGGGCTCTGGGGATAGAGTGTGACACACAGGGTCAGACATATTCCAATTACTAGAACTGAATGATCTCAAAACTCTGATGGTTCAGCCACAAGCCTGCCCTCTTCCTGGATTTCTCAACAAAAAGAACTTTACATTTTGAAGATGCACAGGGCAGACGATAGGTTAGTTCTCAGAATCTGAAGCCTCCCAGTTAGATAATTTTTAGACTGGTATATGTTGCAATTCAGGTTTTCACATTTATTTACCAGCTGTGATCTCCTAAGTATAAAAACAAAGAGAAGCACAATTTGTGACCTGCACACCAAAGCATAGGTATTTTCAGAGATAATTCCTTAAGCAATACTGGCAGAATGGGCAGTAACCCTGACTCACACAAAGGACTGCTAACACAGCCTGCAACTTCTAGAGGGCCAATTGTCATTGGTATAATCTAATCCTAGGCCTTGGGATTGGATCTTTTCATTATTTCAGTTTCCTCATATCACTACTTCCAGTACCTATTCTGTTACTTTAGATGACATTTTCCTCTTATGAAGTGTATCTATTGGTAATTCTCTCAGGAAGGTTTTGTGAATGGTAAACTTTGTCAATCTACTTCCTGAAAATGTCTTTATTTCACACTTACTTTTGAATGATAGCTTAGCTGGGTGCAGAATTCTAGGTTGACAGTTGTTTTCCTTGCTAATTTGGACATTATGCCATCATTTCATTTCTGGGCTCTTCACTGCTGCTGAGAAATCTATAGGAAGGATAACTGTTGTTCTCTTAATATATTCTTCTGTGTGGTAGTTTTAAGGCTCTCCTCTTGGTTTTTTGGCCTTCTACAATTCACTATGTTATGTCTAGCTGAGAATTTATTTTCTTTACACTTACAATGATTTCTTGTGAATCTACAAATTTTAGGACTCATGTTGTTTATAATTTCTGAAATTTTTCTGCATGACCTCTTTTATTATTGCATCTTCCTCACTCTGTAGTTTATCCTAAAAGTCCTTTTTTAACTTTACAAAAAAGTATACGTTTATTATGAACAATGTGTTTTGAAATATGTATATACTGTGGAATTGCTAAATTGTGCTAGTTTACATACGCATTACCTCATATATGTATCATTTTGTGGTGACAACACTAAAAATCCACTCTCTTAGCAATTTTCAAGAATACAATACATTGTTATTAACTACAGTCACCATGTTGTACTATAGATCTCTTGAACTTATTCCTTCCAACTGAAACTTTGTACAGTTTGACCAACATCTCCATGACCTACCTCCTCCCCAAGACTCTGGTACTCTACTCTCCATTTCTACAAATTCAACATTTTTAGATTTCACATATAAGTGAGATTCTACAGTAACTGTCTTTATGTCTTATTTCACTTAACATAACATCCTCCAGCTTCACCCGTGTTGCTGAGTGGCAGCTGAATAGCATCCCCCTGCATACTATAATATACAACACATATTCTTCATCCATTCATCTGCTGTTGGACACTTAGGTTAGATTTTTTAAAAATCTTTTAAAAAACGTATTTGTGCCCAATATACAAAAGGTGGTGTTTTATGTTGTAAATTAATTTTTACAAAGGAAATAATGATGCATCCAGCTGCCTGCCTTTCACTAGCTCATCCTTGTTGACCTGGTGGCTCTGCTAGGGCCGGCAGACGGACAGCAGCAGGTGGTGAGGCTCTGACACCCCCTCATGACACACCAGTAACCAGGGGCCACAGGGGCCAGAACCAGCCCTGCATCTTACCCCTGCTCTCTCTCTTGCCCTTCAAAGCCTGACTTGGGGAAACAACCATAGACACCAGCTGTGTCCACATCCTCATCTCAGATCTGCTCAGCAGCCATGGAGCCGTTGCTCCTGCTAAGGTCAGCTGTGCCCATTGGGGTTGCAGTCCTTCAGCCCTTCCCCCGTCGCTCCTGTTTCACCATGGCATTCACACCTGCACATCACCTGTGCATCAAAGTCTTCACTGACCCCAAAACACAACTCTCTAGATTCTTCTCCTGCTCCTTTGGGCCTCTTCCTTGGTGGTCTCAGCTTCCTCAGTGTTGCCCCAGGGCGAGTCTTGTTATCACGGTCCCTTGCCCACGGTGTCCCAGTGCACAACATCCTCTCCTGCCATTGACATGCCAACAAATCCCAAAGCTCCCTTGTCAGCTCAGCATCAACCGAGGTGCAGCCCAGAGAGCCACTGCCTCCTGGATGTCCCACATAGGCTAATGTAATATCCCCCGGCACCCCTAGCACTTTCTTTATCTGTCCTGACCCACCTGCAACTTTTCCCTTCCAGGCTTGAACCAGGCATGGATAAAGGTATTTAGGTTGTTGCTCGACACTCTGAGAAATCAGCCATCTTGCTAAATACAGAGAAAGCCACACTGCTTGGCCCTGAGCCAGAGTCCTCAGCCCTGAGATAAACTCCATACCCTGATCCCTCATGGTAGACATGCCTGGGTGGGACATCTGCCTTCTTGCTGTTTGTTACAAGCATATGCTGTGGTCCTCCTCTGTAAACAAGTTCCTCTAATAAAGCTCTGGACTGATCACCCTGGTGTTTGGTGCTTCTTTCTGTGGAATCCTAACCATCCCATTGTGGGATGGTTTGGGGCACTCCCTTGTGGAAACTCCTTTCCACTGCCTTTGTGGCAACTCCAGCTCCAGGTTGGACAGGATGGAACAGGTCCTCACCCGTTTCTCCTTGCACACCTACTTCTTGCCTACTGCCCCATCTCAGATATAGCCCCTGCATCTACGCATCTGCCCAAGCTTACAGTTTACCTCACATCTCCTCTGTTCTCAACCCTGAACCCGCCTGGCCACGGCTCCTCTTTTTTTTTATTTTTTTATTTTTTATTTTTTTGATGGAGTCTCGCTCTGTCGCCCAGGCTGGAGTGCACTGGCACATTCTTGGCTCACTGCAAGCTCCGCCTCCTGGGTTCATGTCATTCTCCTGCCTCAGCCTCCTGAGTAGCTGGGACTACAGGCACCCACCACCATGCCCGGCTAATTTTTTGTATTTTTAGTAGAGATGGAGTTTCACCACGTTAGCCAGGATGGTCTCGATCTCCTGACCTCGTGATCCGCCCGCCTCGGCCTCCCAAAGTGCTGGGATTACAGGTGTCAGCCACCGCACCCAGTCTGTGCTCCACCTTTTAAATGGCTCTTGAGCCTATGGCCTCCTCTCTGCCCTCGGGACCTCGGACCCTCTGCAGGCCCAGCCCTCTTCTCCACCCTCGGGACTGCTGTCCCTCTGCAGGCCCGGCCTTCTCCTCCACCCTCAGGACCGCTGTCCCTCTGTAGGCCCGGCCCTCTCCTCCACCCTCGGGACTGCTGTCCCTCTGTAGGCCCGGCCCTCCCCTCCCTGGACCAGGCAGGGCAGAGCCTCCTGCCTCTGATCCCCTCTCATCCTAATCTAGTCTCCATGGTGCAGTCAGAGTGTAACTGTGAAACTTCTATGTTTTCATCCCCAGGAATTAAGGACCAAAGTCCACTTCCCAGGTGTGCAGGATGGCCCAAGTGAGTGGACACCAGCTTTCAAATGTACCTCCAAGTCCACACCTGTCTTCAAAACGATCACTAAAAGAGTTGCTGTGTTTTTAAACCGAGTTGACTAAGTGTTACCGCCTCACTGAGCATGCTGAGGAGTCCCAGAGCTGAACCTCTGCAGCCAAATGTTCTCAGGGACCCAGATATGGATACAGGCACTGCGAGTATCTTGCAGGGACCCACACAGCGACCTGTCAGCAACACGTCTTCAGCAGCAGTGCTAGCACTGGGCACATGGCAGACTGGCACCCTGCATGAGCACCTCTAACATGAGCACAGATGCAAATCCAGTCACATAGCCGCAGTGTGCTCAACCCAGCTGGGTAGCTGCATCTGCCGCTCATTCCAT